TCTGCAAAGAGGAGTGGGACAAAATCCCTCCTGAGATGTGTGCAAACCTGGTGGCCAACTACAAGAAACGTCTGACCTCTGTGATTGCCAATAAGGGTTTTGCCACCAAGTACTAAGTCATGTTTTGCAGAGGGGTCAAATACTTATTTCCCTCATTAAAATGAAAATCAATTTATAACTTTTTTGACATGCGTTTTTCTGGATTTTTTTGTTGTTATTCTGTATCTCACTGTTCAAATAAAAACCTACCAATTAAAATTATAGACTGATCATTCTTTGTCAGTGGGCAAACGTACAAAATCAGCAGGGGATCAAATACTTTTTTCCCTCACTGTACTTCTGAGATGCGTTCACGTGACCCCCCCCCCCCATGTCCACACGAGGGGCACTGCACTCTCCTAGATTTGTCTGTCACAAGGCAACCAAATTAAATGAAAACAATTATTTCCCAGAGCTGGAATATTTTTATTCCAGATGAAGTAAAAAGAAAATACGTATGAGATGGATTTTCTACTTCTGTGTTTGGGTGACCGAATCCATCGCACTGATTCATTTGAAATCTAGATTATATCTTCAATGGAAAACAATGAATCCAGAGCAAGGGGCTCTTGGTGCACATGCAAGCAGCCCGGGTAAACATCTCCGATGACCGAAAGAGGCCTCGAATTTTGCGACAGCAGGACCGAACAAATAGCGCCATGGCGCGGTCACCTCGTGCACTTTGAAAGGTTTCACGGCAGAGGTGGACAGTTGGGTGGGCAGGAAAGTGGATGCCTCTATCCCCTGGGCCGAGGAGGTGTGTGTCCATGTGTGAGAATTTGGAAACACTGCGAAGTTGAATGTTCAAGACAGCGGGGCGGTAGCATCACGCGATTGGCTCTTCGCGACAACATCGCCAACTGTGTGGGACGGGAACCAACGCAGCCTCGATTGCGAGTGTGGCGACTCTCACCGAAGTCTCCCGTGTTGTCCACGTGTTGTCCACGTGCGCTGTAACAGGATCAAGCATGGTGATGATATTTTGAATACACATGCCTGTGTGTTCGAGCATGGATCGAGCTTCGTATCGTTAAAAATCGGTCGATTCCCGTGACCTTTGGATCGTTAAAAACATGTCGATTCCCATTCCAGTATTCCTTATATGGACAACGCCACGCCCAATTACCCCATATATGGGCCTAAATCATTAACATAACTTATCATTCATTCTGTCGCGGAGCTATTTAATCCTGATAATTGTTTTTTTACCCTTCTATCTGGCAACAAAACTGACACCTTTTTTACGAGGAGTCATGTTTGCATACACCACAATACCTGCAGTCATAATGCAAACAAAAAACATAACTCTGATAATGTATGCATTGTCCTTGAAGTTGATTGGTCCACACCCGAGACAGCTTTCCTTAGAGCCTCGTCTCACATGGGTTGGACCAGATGACGCCAAAAGGCGCCTTTCAACTTCAAGGACAGTGCATATATTATCAGAGTTATGTTTTTGTTTGCATTATGGCTGCAGGCATTGTGGTCTATGAAACATGACTCCTTGTAAAAAAAGGTGTCAGTTTTGTTGCCAGATAGAAGGGTAAAAAAACAATTATCATATTTTTTACTGGCAAATGAGGTTCCAATGGTGTAAATCATTTAATCTTGTTGCAGCGCTGTATCCCCATTAGGGGGTTGGCTACGTATGGTGCGAAAAAAGTTCAACTACATGGGTCTCGGTAATCTTTGTTTTGTTTTGTTTGCTATAGGTTTGGCGTCCCGACCACGGTACATGGCAGGTGCTTTTGTCATTCCCCGGTGATTATTGTACTTAAAAGTACAGATTGCTGTACTTAAAAGCAAGCCGGTCGCAGGCACTATGGTTAGAGTGCTCAGCTCGTAAACAGAAGGTTCCAGTAAAGGGTCAACTCAGCCCATCATCCCTGCCGAGTCGATACATTCAGTACCACTTTGCAGGAAGTCAGCAGTCGTTGCCATACAGAGATAACGTTCGAACGGTCCTCGTCATAGTCATGTGGAATTTACAACCACTGGCTCAGAGCAATGCAGCAAAAGCCAAAGTTGCACTGTCCGTCTATGCTCCCATGTCTATGCAATCTGCGCCGACCAGCGTCGTGGGATATGCTCGAGTCACAAGCGTTGGGGCGGCCCTAGTCCAGCAGCAGATTGATTCCCGGCCACGGTCTCAACTGATCGTGGCCCCCTCCTCCCTCCCTCCCCCCGATTCAACAACCCTCACTGACCATGGCCATGAAAACGAGACTCGGTGAGATGATTTTACTGGGAAAACAAGCGAAACAATAGCAAAATATAACAGCAACAGTCGCAATACCAAGAGGGGAGGAAGTGTTTGTTCAGAACGTGGCCCTCGGTTATAAAGAGCTGCAGTCCAGAGAACGCGCAACGAACTGGTGCGGAGTATTGGGACTGTGACTCGGCACCCACGAACTTACGGCTCACGAACCCCATCGCAGTTGACGAGAAGCCACATGGGGACCGAGTTATTTTTTCTTTCTACGAGTGTTCAATTGTTTCTTTCTTTTCTTTCCCCCGCAGTGGACGGCAAAATAAATAAAATCGCCGACACGAACCTCCCACGGAAGCACACATCCGCAATCCCATTGACCGCACAAACAACCGCCCCAAGCGGACGTGATTTATACGCGTTTCGTCTTTCTCGAAGGACGCTAGCCCTGAATGGAGTGCATTGGAGTCGATTCTGTCGGCGGTAAATACGTCCAGCTTCAGTCTCCCACGAACAAACGCACGGGGAAAATGTCCCAATGCAACCAATTAGCTGCCAAACACATTTACGTATTTTTTTTATTTGGGTGGCTGGGGCAGGCAAAAACAAAGACAAAGGTCCCCCGTATAGCCTTAATAGATTGTTGTGTGGGAATCGAACTCGGGTCGTCGGGTTCATAGCGCAGTGCGCTCACCGCTTCACCACCGCTCCCCCCGGCGGGGACGGGGTGGGGATTGGCACACACTTGGCCAGAAACGATGCTGGGTGCATTGTGACGTCACAGGACCACAAGCAAGACTTGGCGACAGCCTGGAGAGGTCTTCATCCAGCAGCGAATTGATCATGGCTGATAAACGCGTGTGATTGTGCTGGGTAGAGTGAACGGCTCGCGGCCGCATGGTCAACAGTTAGAATCCTGGACAGGGTCGATGCAGCTCCGTGTCGTCCCTCCGTGGCCGGCAAAATGGGCACTGCCTGTTCAGCCTCGCACCATCTGATGGGAAGTCACCGTGGATCCTGTCATGGCAATGTGGAATTTCCACCACCGACACGATACCAACATGAGCACCACCCAATGCTCACCAATGCATGGGGCAATGTTGTACTTTGACACTGTGGTTATGTTGGTTCATGTCGGGAGCTGCCGTGGTGTCATGGTTAGCACACCGGACTTGCAATCTAGAAGACGAGCGCACTTTCAGATGCGCTTCTGCGGCCGTCTGGAATGCTCTTCCTTCTGATATTAGGAAGCCACTGGAGCTACATACTTTTAAATTATCTGGATTGAAAACTGATATGGAACTGCTTTTTGTGTTTAGTTTCTTGTCCTTCCGCACACTTCTGGTTAGCACGGTTGGCTACGTATGGTGCAAAAGAAATTCAACATACTACATTCACAATGGGCCCGGTTTTGTTTAATGCCCCCATTATTTCTGTCCGCCCAGCAATACAAATGGGTCTTCCTCTTCCTCTTTCGTTGGGCTGATGTAGATGCAGAGCAACAACGACAACTTCACATCCAGGTGGTCAAGCGAGATAGCCGCGTCAGGAACAGCGGAGTGTGTGAATGGGTAATGCACAGTCAGTCGGTGGGGGTCAGGTGTGGGTGCTGCTACCTCTTCCAAGATGTCTGGCTGAGCGTTAAGTGAATAAGTTGTCATGTCGGTTTGTTCACTGCATTTACTTCACTCTTACTTAGATAAAATTGAGTCTCATTGAACTTCGGTGGCAAAATATCTTCGTTAATTTCATGGGTGTTGACAATATTTTACTAAATACAGAAAACACACACGCCGATACAAACGGTCCTCGACTTCTGAACAAATTCGTTCCTGAGACCTGTTCGTAAGTCGAACGGTTCATAAGTCGGAACAGAATAAATACCCATACGGTCAGTGTTATAAAATGTTTTCGGTTCAACAAAAAAGGGAAGCATTGTTAAACTCATATATAAGAAAAAATAGTGGACATTTGCATGCAATAAATACTGAATAGTAAACAAAACATAAACTAAAGGAATATTAATAGGAAAAAATAAATATTTTATTTGCACTTACCTTGATACTGGCGTGCGCGTGAGCACAAAGACACAGACACACAAACTGTAAATCATTTATTTACAGTTTTTAATATATTATTCATTATGATTTTTTCAGACATTGGCAGCACAGTATTAAAATTACACAATCATTTTCGTGGTGCCTTTAATCCATTAGTTTTATAATTATTTTAAATAGTTGTGTAAAGTTGCTATTACGGTATGAAAAATAAATATAACCCGTAAAAAAACAAAGTTTTTCACTATAAATCCTTTATATGCGTGGCAGCGAACTTAATATAAAGGATTTAAAAATATATTCGCCTGTGGAGGACGCGGGGATCGATCCCGCGACCTTTGGCATGGGAAGCGAGGGCGCTACCAACTGCGCTACTCCACCACGGCCTGTGGAGGGGTTACGCTCTGGGCTCTTACACTCTGACGTTCAGTCAAAGCCATGAATGCGTTCTATTTGAATATATGTAAAATAATTTTTTTTTGCCTAAAAAGTGTAAAATTTTGGGAATTTTTTTCACGAACAATAATTGTCTGGCACAACGAGTCTGTGTGGAAAATGTCAGCTCGATTGGATCACGGGAAGTGGGTTAAAAAACGACCGAAAGATTTGCACGGTCCTAAGCAAGCAAGCAAGCACGCGAACTTAATATAAAGGATTTAAAAAGACAGGCGTTTGTCGAGCGGACTGCGGTTGAATAACGTTTAAGTCGTTTTTATTCGTACGAGAAGTACAGCAAAGCACAGAAACAAAAACGATAAAATGTGAAACACAATTACAAATTCATGGGAATACATTTGAATTCATAATTTTGTGAAAAACGTCACATTGTGAAATTTGATGTCCTGTGGTATCATGGCAAGTCGAGTCTTAACAGCAGGACTGAGACCTTGACCAATATATACTGACCTTGTACGAGTGGGGACAGCAAGAACCACACTTATACATCTGTCGGTAACCTTCCATGCAAAGGGGTCATCTCTCTCTGTAGTAGGTAGAGAAGAGTAACTCATTAGGCCGCACCTTAAGCCTCACTCTGAATTGCACCGGTAGTCCGCTCTCAAATACAATCTCACCCAAGTCACGAACGCTAGCTAATCAAAAGTGCACAGATAATTAACATTTATAATCGTGTACATAAACTCACTCTGTTCACAAATTTTAAACCCAGTAGTTTCTGTATATATATAGTCACTCTATTTTTCTTTTATATATACGATAGTTGTTTTTAAATAGATTAAATTTATTTTTGTACCCTGTGCGTTAAATTCCACACGACACTTTTTGGGGCATTCAAGTTTCACCGCACACTCAACAACATCTGCCACGAACAATGACACACAGACCCCCCCCACACACACAGCCACTCAACCATCGTGCGCTTACAGCGGATTTTTTTAAACTCCTTAGCAAATCGTCGTAAAGTAGAAGCTGGATATAAGCACACCTACCACATGCTCCGTTCTGATGTAAGCAACACACGTTTTTACATTGTCACGCTGGTGGGCGGAAGGTTGTTGTTACTACGATTTTTTTGCCGAGGGAATGCCTCCAGTCTCAGGAATCGTTTTCAGGAGGGGCCTCACAAAAACATCTTTACAGCAGGAGGCGATGTTACTGCTGTGCGCACAGTCATCACACTTTGAGCAAATTGCCGTTTCATTTTTCAGCATTAAGATGTTTGGTCAATCCTAGGTGCACTAAATTGTATGGGGTTGTTTTTTGTAAATATGGGAGGAAACCGGCGAACCCGGAGGAAATCCACGCAGAAGAGCGGGGGAGAATTTAGCAACTGCACACAGAAAGGCACCCCGAGTCGGTGAATCGAACCCAGGAATGCTGTGGGCCACGAGGTTACCACTGGGCCACCTTGCCGCTCAGGGTGAATGGCAACATCTGATGCAAACACGCTACTGTGGATATAAGCACACGTGGCCTTGCTCCGAAGGTAGTTTGGTTATATCCAGCTTCGACTGCATTCACAAAGCTGACGTTAGACGGCAACATGAACACATCCATGAACACCGTGTGAGCGCGACGGATAATCTGTGGTTTGTCTTCTGGTGAAGCTGTAATATATACGGGGTGCGGTGTATTCGTCATTCTCGTGTGTTTAAAGTATATGCAAATAGTGTATGCAGAACATCTTTTCTATTGCAAAACTACTCAAAAAGGAATTAGCCCAACACCCAACGGATCTCTCCCGAGTTGACCGAGATTCAGCGTGTATCTTTTTCTAATGGATAAAAATGTCACGTGATAATAATTCCCACTGTCATTTTGCGAGAGTCTGACGAAATATCTCTCCGATGCGTCTGTTAGTGTCTTCGCGTTTTAAGTTTGTATTCCACGTGCCGAGAGCTTCAACAGAAACTGAATTGAAGGTGTTCAAGGAACAAACCCGTTCCTGAACAGCCTCCCAGGGCATGCGAAACGTTGGACATCGTACCGGACAACATGCGGTCCAAACCCGAAAACCGCATCGGGGAGACATGACATCATAAGTCAGGGCCAGCAGCGATTGCGTGGATGTCTTAACCACGCTGGTACATATCTCGTCTAAATCCCTTCAATTTGCTCTGAGAGCACCAACTCGTTCTATCCTATCTGCACACAACCACTTAATAAATACACACGGGTCTCTACAACAGGAGAGCGCTCGGTGTACCCGGGGTCACAAATACTTATTTCATTTCAAGCCAAGGTCCTATAATTACTGAAGCAAGAGCCCAATGAGATCCATTACCTTTTTTACGCAAGGGAGACCAACTTAGTAGTGACACACACACGCCATTTTATACGGTGATTCTATTAAAACTTTTGCTAGCAGATTTTTTTTCATTTAAAATTTTGACTCACGTTATGGTCTGGGCACATAACGACCTCCTCCTCCTGTGCGCGATGATATCACAAGATGATTAAAACCCGATGATGCACCTTGGTAAATTAGCAGACTGTGCAAACTAAGCCAATGATTTAGTAACACCACTAATTCCACGGAGAACTGGTTATCTACAGGGGCGCATTTGCTATGCAGCAATGGGGGCGGTAGTCCCAAAATAAACAGATAAATATTACTCTACCCTCAACAATGTCCTCGGTAACACAATGCGGATTCTGTAAACCGCTTGCAGACACTGCCAAAGGCCCAGGGCCGGTTTACAATCGTGGCGTGACACACAAAAACTAAAAATCATTGTGGGATCGCGCGCGTCATGAGAGTTGGGGGTTTGGCTTGCGCCCATCCACGGTTCGACCTATAAGCCCAGCGGTTATCCCTGTGCCTAACAGTGACAGTTCAACACTAACCCCAAACTACACAACTGCACTGTATAAAATGTAATATTATACAGTGCAGTATCAACTGTTGGAGGAAGGCCTCCCCAAGCCTTTGTCATAGAGGTTATCTGACTGTACTTTACCATGTGGGTTAGTGAAGAGGGTGCCGAGCGACCGGTGCAGCTATAACTCGCCACTGACGTTATCGGTGGCTGGAAATTGAACTCAGGCCACCGAGTTCATAGTGCAATGTGCTCACCACTGTGCCACCATTCCACCCCAATCACTGCAATACAAAAATTTCAAAACACATTTATGATGTCACTCCAACGCTTCACAACATTTGGTTTGGATTTGATCCCTTTCACAACCCATAACCCTACCCCTAACTATAACACTTTACCCAATCCCAAACACCATCTTTCATTGCAGCAATTAATCTACAATGCATTGCAGTTCACATTCCAAATATTATTGCAAGATAGTAATATTGTGTTTACGTCCATCATCCAATGAAACGTGGGTCTCATTCATAAGCAGTGCCTCACCAACAGGAAATGGATATTACACCACTATCCCACTTGCAAAACCTCACCCCCAATTAGATGACACTACGTGAGAACGCGGATTTGTAAGATAATGCAATGTCCAGGGAGGCGCGGCGGTGACTCATCCTCCGTGGCGTAAAAGGATGCGGTCACGGCTCTCACGTACACACGAGGCAAGATTTGCAAGTCGGCTCAAGCGATGAGCTGCAGTGGCAGGTCATGGCTCCAGGTTGCAGTTCTCCTCAATCCGGAGCTACAAATAGAAACCAATGGAGACGTTCTCAACTACATTGGCTGCCCTGTGAGTCATTGGCAGAAAATTCCACATTCGCCTGACAGGCGCCGTCCCTGGTACGACAACCTCCGTTGCGATTCCTCACACACAAAGTGACGTCCGTTTTGTCGTCGCGTCCCAACCAGGATTTTAACCTCGAGCGGTACAAGACGACTGCTCCGCGCATAAATCCCTGCCACGCCGAACGATTTGCACCGAGACGTGCCTACGCACGCCCTAACTTCACACAAATTCGCTCACGAAGGTAACACAAGAAGCAGTCTAATCAGATCAGGCCATTAATAGCAATCAGCACATTTTCAGATACTGATTGCTGCCCGGCTCACACTATTCCTAGGAATGTCTGCAACTTTTCCCCGCCGCGATCTCGCCACGTCACCCAATCAGATCGCCGTGCCCCCAGCCGTTTGTAAATGCTGTCTGGATAGCGCTAATGGACCTCGTTAGCGGGAGAGGCATCATTACCAGCGGGCACGAGTGCGTGCTTCACCTTGGAAACCAGACTGACTGCGCGGTACACACACACAGCGCTATTTCTAGACGGGGGGGGGGGGGGGGGGGGAAGCAGCAACCCGGTCGCGTCTGTCGACAAAACTGACCACGCGAGCGTGACGCGTGACGAGCAACGCGCAAGATGTGGCGACGTTTTTAGCAGAGCGGCACCAGCGAGCGCTTCGTTCCTGCGAATCTCGCAACAAGTTCTCGGCAGTCACCGTGATGACGTCACAACACGACGAGGCGCACACGGGCTGCTCAAGTTCACGAAAAACTGTCGCCCTGAGTGAGTGCCACATTTCACCATCAGCCCACACATCTGCCTCCACTTATGCAAGACACTCTCACGTTGCAAACTCTCTGAAGCCACGGTATTAAAATTGTAGTTCCTTGCAATTTGCCTACACATACGAAGCGCTGTGGCAAAGCACCCGAATTACAATAAGCTGAAGGTTGACTCAACCCCATCATTTGTCCAATGGCGATAAAATGAGCACTATGTGCAAAGTCATCAATGGTGGTCGTCCTGTTGAAAGACTTGACCTGGCCAAGAATGTGGAATCTCCATCAATTGCTCAGGGCAGCTAATAGAAGATGAGTACCACCCTATGGTAGTTTGCGCAGGGAGGCACCGATACTTTTTGTCTCGGTCATTCAAAATAAAAAAAAACGGTTTACGTTGAGTGTAAACCGTTTCCTTTCACGACCCTCTGAAAACTGTGTAGCCTCTTGGCCCTGGGCCTATGTGATGTTTTGCTAAACAAGACGAGCAGATCGTCGTCCAATACATCTGGTCAACATGGAAGAGTCGGCCAAGAGCTCCCTTGAACGGAGGCTCTTCCGCCAACAGTTGTAGAGCAAGCAATTGCAGGGCTCCACTTGTACTTAGTATACAGCAGATGGGACCTACTGCGGGAATGTCCCCAGCCTGTACCATTCGTGCATCCCTGTTGTTCTGCACATTCGAGTCATTTAAATTCGTCCCTGGCTCACCACTTTGGATAGATAATAATTCTGATGTCCAGAGACAGTCGAGAGCACTACCGCACTTATAATTAAATGCTAAAGCATGCAGCAGAGAGCCTAACGTGGCGCCCACTTAAAGCCTGAAAGGCTGCAGATCTTTCCATGTATTTCATTGAAAAAAAAAAACTTGTAACGTATTCGGCAGGAAGCACTCAAGAGAAAGGACGGTCCTCACTGTCAACTGCTCGTTGTTTTCATCCAAAAGATGTCCCAGTGGTGATGGGCACAACGCGAGTCCAATCATTTATTAATGAGATTTAGGCTCTGCGCTAAGGCATGAGCACTGCACGGCTTCGCTTCCCCATGAAAGTTTTATGTCGACTCCACTACAGTAAGTAGTCAAAAGATTGGCGTTCTGCCGGCAGGCCAGAGGATGGAAATTCAAGATGCGAGCGTCTCCGCCATGGCCCACGCACGCGGATATTTTAGACACGCGAATAAATAAATCACAATCGTGACATCAAACGCACGCAGTGCTACAGCCAATCTGGATCGGGCGAAGACTGTGGGTCAGATCGCCAACTGAAAGCAGGCTTTGCACAAGGCAGCCAATCAGCGTGCACACCTTGCCGATGAGATTCTACTACAGGGGGAGCGGCCTAGAGGGTATTTGGCTTACTCTTCCACGCTGGCTGACCGGACGTCTTGGAAGGCAGGATAGTACCCACACTTTAACCCTCTACACACGATCTGCAAAATCAACTTAATTGTGGCGTACCAATTTTATACTGCTAGGTGGAGAGAGGCGGAGGGATGTAAAGAGAGCGAAGATGAAATTGGTCCAAAATTATCAACTTATAAACAAATGCTACTGGCAAACATCAACGTGGAAAAATAACCAACAGGCTGACGGAAAGAATGTTATTTCCTTCAAGTGACTTCAACAAAATCGCCTTCCCTGACTTATTATTGCATAATAATCCAAAGGCAAAGAGTGAGATGTGTTATCTAAGGTTGCAATGCATCTGGGGCCATCTCGTCACCCTTAACGGACCCTGAACTAATGGACATTCTCATGGCGCGGCGCCAGTCTAACGGCCACTCGTCTCGCCGGCGCGCATATTGCTTAAGGCTGTACCAGACAACAGCCCCTTTGCTGTACGTGTACAACAACTTGAAATGTCGAGTCACTGGCGAGGCACATGAAAGAGGGTCGTAACACGTGCGTCCAGTCAATGGGAATCCCGGCCAAGTGATAGCAAAATGTATTGCGATCAAACAATGTGAGGGGGGGGGGGGGGAACCCACCACAGCAAATGCTCGCACGTAAGGCCGGGAAAGCCACGAGACACCCGCTCTGGAGACTCGGTGATTTCTTAGAGCATTGCTGGAGTGCACGTGCGCGCATCCCCGTGTCCGGTGTTTTTTTGGCTGCGCGCTTGCGTGTTCATCACGTGCGTGTTTACGTATAAAAATAATACCGAGGCTCATTCACCCGCACATGCCACACGGTACAGTGCTGGCCGTCTCCCTCTCTCTCGCAGAATGCTCCCAATCCTCCTGCACAAGCAATTCTCATTACTCAAACGTCCCCAAGGCACCGTCTCTCGCAACTTTGTCCAAGGCCCAGAATGTCCACCCACCCTGTGTACACGCGGAACACGCCGAGCCCATGGTAACTCGATTGTCCTGACAAGATAACCGGGTGATTTTCACCTTCCGACGGCTAAACGTCCACGTGTCATCTTCAATGGCGGCCCTGAGCCAGTGGTGGGAATTCCACATTCCTACGACGGGGACCAGTGTATTCGAAGAACTGCTGTGTACTTTCACCAAAGTGGTGCTATTAATTTTAACCAACCAGAAGGGATGACAATCCAACCACACCCCGACCGGAATTGTAACCCTTGACCTTCTGATCGCGACTGGGACACTCTCACCACAGTGTGAGGCGTTTCCATTACGCTCCCACCGCCCAAGTGTGCCACACGGAGAAGCTTCCATCGCCGAACTCTCAACATATTCGTCTTCATCATCATGAGCCATTGTCAATGCCACTGTTGGATGAAGGCCTTTCCACACCGTTGCCATCCCATCATTCCGTCCGGCGATGTGTCCTACCCCGAGCCCATTTAGTCCTCTTGTCAATGTGACGTCTCTGGTTTGTGTTTGTTCCCTGATCCACGTGCTCCTGTTGCTCATCAGATTACGGACACCAAAGTCAATATCGTTGAACATGGCTCCTTAATTTGACGTGGTTCCTTGCCCAATGTCAGCTGAAGGTTGCGGGTAACCGCCCGGCTACGAATATGATCACCGATGGACCCTAACCCAGGAGTCGGAAAGCACAATAAGAACAGCCATATTTTTCGAATTCGGTAAAAAAAAACTCCATATTTAAAGAGCTGCAATGCATGTGAATATGAGACGGTGGTAGTTAATAACTGACGTCACGAAGGAGTCCTTTGAAGAGCCGCATGCGGCTCTGCACCCACAGGGTGCCGACCCCTGCCCTAACCGCATCTCATTGGGAGCGTTAACTCTGTTAATAATGAGCTACAACCTGAGCCAGGTCCAATAATGAACTGTATTAAAACATGAAGGAATTTTACATGAATAAAATTTAATACGAAATTATGTATAATTTATAATGAGTGTACTATTTACCATCATAAAGATATATTTATCAAGTACATTATTAATATTTAACACCTGCGTGCTTTAACATTCGCCGCCATATTTATCTTTGCCTTTGTGTTGTCATAACAACTGTATCCATCTCACGTGATCACACGCAGCCAATCACATCGCTGTTGGCCATGGCAACACGGAGCCTTTTCCAGATTTTGCAACAAAGTTGCTGCGAGTTCCGGAACAGATGCAACATTATTTCTCCTCTTGATGCCACCCACAATAAATATAGCAACACAAACACACACTCCCATCATCATCATCATAGTTAGCCATGATCAATCCCCTGCTGGGTTGAAGGCCTGCCTGAGCCACCACCATCTCTCACAATCCTGAGAATGATCCACAGAGCTTCTCCACATGAACCGATTAACTAGACACTTGAACATTCCTGCAGAGAGGGTGCAGCTATATCGCTCTTTTACAAAAACGACCAGGTCACAAATGATAGCTCAAAGAAGTTGCTCATCACGTGGACATATATATCAGCCAAATACTGTTAAATATGCACGTTCTAAATGTGGAGGGAAAAACTGGAGGACCCGAAGAAAAATCCTCGCGATCACAAACTCTAGAGAATCAGCAGGCGTCATGGGTCAGGATTGAACCCACGTCCTCCTGCATAACTTGAGAGCTGGACAAGGCCCATAGAACAAACCATCAACACAGCCAACAACCCAGGAAGGAGGCCGTCGATAGGCACCACGGAAGCCGCTCCTCCCCCGGTATCCGTCATCTCATAAAGGGTGATTCACGTCAGAGAGTGCCTTTAACAACAACAAAACACATGTAAAAAATACATTTGGTGATCCTGCTGCGTTGGCAGTGGTGCACAAGCATAATTAATGAACAACAAAACGCCTCATATTCGCCAAAAACACTGCGTTAAAAAAGAACAAGTTTCCGAATCTCCTTCACATTACGAGGGAGAAAATATATCATTGGCGGAGTTGTGTTAAATGGCCCTTGGTAGCATATGAAGGGCCATTGTACCAAATGTCTCCTATTATATATATTATACTTTTTGGTTCTTTCGGTAAAGTCACGTAGGTATAAAATAAAATAAATCACGACGTTTCGGGCGCAACACAAGCGTCCGAAACGTCGTGACATTATTTTATTTTCTACCTACGTTACTTTACCGAAAGAACCAAAGAGTATGGATTCCTGCAGTCACGAAAGCTTCAAATCAAGATTATATATATTCTTTGAAGGCATTGTTATTGACGAAAGTGTTCTTTTAAAAGTAGGTTATTAAGGTGCTGGTGCTATGGTGGTGGCGGGGGGCTTAAATCAACGACAAAAATTAAAATCAGCCGGCGCGCCTCCAGGCTTGGGAATTCACCCACGACGTGCACATAATTTCATTATCCCGAGCGCGAAGTTCTCATCTCAGTGGGTATCTCCGACCTCCGCGAGGCATTTACGAATGGGCTGTCATTAAACTGCACATTATTGTTGAGGATTAAAAAATTTTGTTATTATTTGACTCTCTACTCAATTACACACCAATTGTGCTATCAGCATAGCATTTCGAGGACGTCGCTCCATTAGGTTTCGTTTCTTATGGACTTCCCTTTTGTGTCCGACACTGGTAGACCCTCAAGAGCTGGCCGCGACAAATTCCAGCACAAATATAATGTTCAACTGCTTTTGTGCAGTCATCAGTGATCGTGCTCTATAGTATCCTGCCATAGGAACGTGGAATTTCCACCACTGGCTCAGGGCCACCAACTGAGGGACAGTGCCCGCCCTATGCGTTTTTGAGTGAGGGAGACATTTTGACTTTGGAATTCGTGACCAAGTGCCCTTGTGATGGCTTTCCATATTACGGTGCTAGAGAAATTGTCATCATTATTATAAAGCTCACCGACCGTGACAATTAATTCCGCTCTATGTGGCCCCCTGGGGTTCAAACCAGGCCGGTAAGGGGAGGTGGCTCGATGCTTTGACAGATGCGTTAGGCCCCATGACAACCAGGCCAACTCGATCGTGGGTGTATCTCTTACCAAGCACATGCTGGGTACACTTGCAGTCACTGTTGTTGTTGTTTTCAATTGCAATATAATTCAATTTCGATTAGAGCATATCAATGCATCTACTTATATAGTCCTTTGGCCTTGAGGCCTGTTGGGGGGACGACCATTTCCTTTAATTATATCTCCTTGCAGTGCTCTTTCCGCTTCTCTCTAACCACCAACTGTCGTTCAACTGAGATAGATTTCACCCTGTCCAGTGTGTAATGTTTAACATCCAGTCAGAGCGTGATCTTAATTTTTCCCGAGCACATTGAAGTGTTATTAAGTTATCTGCAGAATACCTTTTATCCACATGATATTATGGGAAAAAAATACTCCCAACTCACATGACTACTGGTCAGTGCTCATCTCTGTTGGTGGTCCTGGACCAGTGGTGGCAATTCCACATTATCAAGACAGGGGCCAATTTATGCACAACCATTGCTGACTTCCCAAAAAACAGTAATCAAAAGTGTTTACATAGACTACAATTTAATACGTAGCTTTTTACAGCCATTAATATGATGAATGTATTTTTGTTAACAAGGCCTAACCCAAAAATCGATTTTAATAAACTACAATGACTTCAACGTGTCTCCCTGATCAATAAGGCAGTCTTAAACTCTCTTGGGAGGTTCAAGCCAGCCATATAAAAAAAAAAAACTCTACATTCCCCTGGTAGTGGCCATTCTCTCCATAGGGCAACCACAGACTGCAGTACAGTTTTACTCATTTCGCAGCACACACTGAAACAAGCTCAGTGATGTGACCATTCCAAGCCAATCTCGGCTCAAGGAAAGCAAGTGGCTTAGTACTACTGCTCCCATCCACTGTCGCTCTGCCGAGCTCTCTCTGCATTTTCATTTAATTGCTTCAGGTGTGTAAAGCTTTAACCCATAGTTTGTCAGACAGCACCAATTCAGAAGCGGTGTGTACAGACCAAGGTTTACGTGAACTCAGAAGCAACTGTGCAGGGTCAGCTTTCTCCATCGGAAATAAGGAGCTGTTGCACAGAGTCGTGGAACTCCTGAAGTGAAACTTCTCACTTGGCTCGCAATTTAAAGAGATATAAAATAAATATGGGACAGGGAAAAGGGTGGATAGAGTGCAGTGCATACCACGCCAAAGCAGTGGCGCAGTGGTTTGCGCACTGCGCTATAAAGCTGGTGACCCGAGTTTTCTGCCGGGCCACGGCTAACATCAGTGATGAGCGATTATCTGAAGCAGTAGTTGCCTTCCCTTCACAAACCAGCACGAGGTAACGGTCAAATGGACCCCTATGACCAACAGGGCGTGGGGAAGCCTTCATCTAGCAGGCGCTGACAAAGGGGTTGTAAATATTTTTTCAAGTAAAAATATATTTTTAAATGTTTTATGAACTGGTAGTAGATTTACATTCTCCTGGGGTTGCAGCAGCCATGTTCATTCGTGTTCAACAATTCACACAGCCGTGTCTCTTTCAGCAAGGAGCCTAAAAGAGCAACTCCTATCCCACGATCCTTTTGCTGTCCATTGTGTTGTGGTTAAGCTAGTTTCCGCAAATATGTGGTGCAAACATGGCCAGACCTATGCAATGCTCTGTCAATTTGGGCAGTTTCCTACCAGGTCCACGGAAAACTGCTTTTTGGCAACGTACGAAATGGAGCCACGAGCTTCAAATCTGTGCGATGTTGTTGTTACCAAAGCGTGCCGACTGTTGTTCTTACCAAAGCGTGCCGACTGTTGTTCTTACCAAAGCGTGCCGACTGTTGTAAATTGGTCCCTCAAGATCCTGTGATGTCACTCACAAAAATAAAATACCGATGCGGCCCTTGTTGTGCCCATGCCATAGTCCGGATACCAAATTTGAAAGTAAAATTCTGTTTCACGTACTGTATTTGTTAGGGACCCTTTCTGGAGGGTAACACCGAAGTCTCCCTTGCATAACGAGAAAACGTTAACTGAAAGAAGAATATGAAAGGGACGTCACCCAACTTCTGAATAAAGACACTGGTCGATGTTTGCCATCAACAGCTGTGAGCGATGCATCAGCAGATAATTTGCATTGGAATAGCGAATCTCGGTAGAGTATGAGAAGACAGATGGTCGGCAGTGGTGAGTAGCAGAGTTATGACCCCAGGTTTTAACCCCCTCACTCCCCGACTCAACCAGTTCCCTCTTCAGAACACAATTCCCTTGATTGATGGCACAACAGTGCGACGCAGCCAATTAATTCCATTAAAGATGCTGAACAATAAGTTGGCCGATCGATGGTGACATTTCTCCAATCCCTCCAGATGCCACGCACTGTAGCGCACTCCCAACAGCGCAGGGCTAAACGACCGTCATTCTGTACATTAGAGAAGAGGAGCATTGCAAGCTGCTCTACACACATCTCTGCTGCGGTACCGTTGCACGCGCCATCTCAAGTCGCAATACTCGTGTTCGCTTGATTACATTTTCTTACATTTGAAAAGCCCCAGTGTACAGTCTGCTCATTGTGCAGCGTTTATTCCACTTTCACCTCTCAGGTGAACACAGTGTTTGCACATTTTAAAGCTCCGAGCTCATAGACACTAAACTGCGCTTGTAGGTGTACTTAATCGCAACTGCAAAACTACGAGAAAGCCCATCACAACAGGACAATTAATGCAGGCTGGAAACAAGCATATAAAAATCACGCACACAAAGGTGTGCAGCGTTGTGCGGACAAAAGCACTCGTCCTTATTCAGAAGACCAGCTCCGAAGTGGCATATGTTGGAATGGCCACATTTTGTCAACTCTTACAGTTGGTTGTCTAAACGACAAAATATCCACACATTCAGTTCTTTGCAGCTGGTGGTCTGGATAAGGCTGACTGCTTGTGTACATACGGGGTACACGCGTGCGTGCGTGTGCGCTGTTACATCTCGGTGCACGCTCAAGCACAGTTGCTTGCATGGTGTTATGTTGCCGGAAAACGATTTAAACTTCAGTCGCTCGTCGGTGCATTGTCAAACATCGACAGTAGATCCCAATACCGGCGCAGTCTCCCTCGTTGCCGCCGCGCAGTCAAAGCGTGTGTGCGTTTTCCCGGATTAACAACATTAGCAACATTTTCAAACTACAGCAGTTGGCCGGCGTGCGCCTTCTCCACGTGCCCCCAAACCACCACCACACATCCCCGCGCATCCGCGGACGTTTAAAAAAAAAAGATGCCACTCATCCAGTTGTAACTTTGTCTTTTTTTACCTCTGCCATTCACAAGGTGATGGAGTGAGCTTTTCAAGGCAGCCTCCACCCCACCCCCACCACCTCCCCCCACACCCAGCATAGCAGGGCGGCTCGTTTTAAAAGCGTTCCTCTGCCATGGGCGCTAAATGTCAGAGCAGTCACTCAGGGCCAGTGCGCACTGCTGGGTGCTAAACGCAGCTCCCTCTCGTCCAGCAAGAAGGAGGCTGTCCTTCGGTCACCCTTCTAAGGCGGTGCAGGGCTTCTGCTCCAAACGTGAAGCTAACCGGGTCATTGGATATCACCCAAATTTTGGCGCGCACGCGCACATGCTGCGCAGGTCCCTTGCAATAGCCGGATGCAAGCCTTGGACATCTGGCCAACGGGATCGGCAGTGGTTCACACACACGCGCGCACACAGGCAAATGCATCCGACTCGCATCACAACTCGTACAGTTTCTCTCGTAAGGTCCCAGTATACAATCAAGTTGCCAAGGTCGTAGGGCAAGTGCCAGTGTAGCATTTAGAACACTACGGGTCCAAAATTAGAGCTGCAAATCTTAAGGTCACATCCAAATAGAGCGTGAGCAGATGGAGCGGTTGTGTCGACAATCTCGTGATAATGAATTAGGCTACGTCATATGCATTATAAAAGTGAATCTTACAATATGACAAAAATGCTAAGAAAAAGACGAAATGTCAATGCTAGGCTTAACTTTAGTGAAAATTACAGAGCAATGCATGCCTGGGCAGGAATATACCTGACAGTAACTGACCTGGCGAGTTTCAGTACAAACAAGCACACCCAAAACATACACCCAGACCAGTGTTACTACAGAATACAATTCAAGAACATACCACGTACTCACCATCACATGTACATACATACACACATAAATACACGTGGACGCACACAAACACCCGCTCACAACTGAACATAGCAAACACACACATGAAGGCCACATACATTTTCTCGAGCATAGAAGCAGCAAGCACATAGGTATGGGTAAATTCCAAGAATGGAAAACAAAATACATAAAAAAAACATGTAAGGAGCACACAACAGAGGGAGATGAATTTGAGGTATACAGAACGGGTGAGGCTTTCACTCAGCACTGCATTAATTACCAATGCAGCTCCTAATGATAATGAAAATGTTGGTTTTGCACTGCTGCAGCTGATGCTGATATTGGCGATTTCCATTGATCATTAGGGTTGCAATGGTTTACCTCCATCCAGGAGATACAATGACTTGCCGCGATTCAGGGCTGAGATTAGATTTTACTCAATAATTTATTACTTATTCCACGATGCGTCGTTTTTACCGTCTCGCTGGTATTATATTGTTCACTCCATTATTCCAAAACGTAATGTTTGCACATAATTTCAATATGAGTAACACAACACGTGAATCAGAAACATGGACGTTGACCCAGCAGAACAAAAGCTGAAACATGTGCACAGAAGCATGGAAAGGTGCATGCTTTTACTTACACTGCGTGGCACAAAAAATAAACCGCACAGATTACAGAGATAATGCATGTTAGAGGCACCATATTGATAAATTAAAAAGTAAACGGGCTCGGCCAGGACTTGTCACTAATTGGGATGATGGCCGGAGGTCGAGCCTAACGTCAGAGTCGCAGCCAAAGGAGGAAACGCCCGAGAGGACGTCAACCGTGGAGATGGGGGGGGGGCAATGGACCGTTGCATCGCAAGATGGTGGAGAAATAAGGACGGCTTCGGAGGCCTTCATCCAGCAGTGGCTCGATCATGGCCGATGAAAATTCCTACATATGCAATTCAACGCTTAGCTGGGGAGCCTTACAAACCAATATCAATCAATATGTTGTTACACCCCTAGCAATGATGATTTGCTTGATGTTGATAGGTCGCGAGGATGTTAAATGATGAAAATGGTAATGATGATGACGCATGTAGATATTACAAAAAAATGTTCACCAACACTCATGTTCCCCGAACATGGTACAGTACGCCCGTTATTAACCCCAGTTTGACCTCAGTGTTCACCCTATCTGGGTGAGTGAATTTCCCCACACTTGCATTTAAATGAACATCGTTGCCTGCCCTATGCCTCCTCCTAAGCCAACAGTCACAGTCCACACTGAACCCGACCCCACAATCACACGGGCGCCGTAACAAGCAACACACTGCCCATAAATAATCATCATCGTTGTCGTCGTCGTCAAAGCGACAGAACGCCACACACTGCAGAACTCGATGCGTTTCATTCGCGACTCCTACCTCTAGGACCCATAACCGGACCACCCTGGTCTGTGTTACCTCCCATGGGCACACGCCAACTGCAGCAGTTTAGCAGTTTACTTACACATCCTTTTGTCTGACTGATTACTATTTTTTCACGTGCAATAGTGTTAACAATTTAAAACCATGGGGTCAATTAACCACCTTACACAAACGGCTGTGAGCAAATCTCCAAAGCGTCGGTATAAAAATGGTTAATGGACCCAGGTGATCAATACTCAAAACCCAAAACGTATGCTGCCATTATCGAATTCCATTACGCTGAAAAAAAACCCCTTCCCGTCGTCCCCTCCTTGCGTCCCAAATCTCTAGCAGGCCCCTCAAATCCACCTTGGCCCTGTTGGATAATTTTCCCTCAGTCTGGGTCGCCCTCCTTAGGGCGCTCAAGGGAAAGGCAGGGGGAGGGGGCAGTGAGGCGTGCGATGCCACCGATGGCCCCTTAGCTGTGACCGGCACGGCCGCGCGGTCCATGGAGGCTACGGCTGAATTGACGACGGTGCTCGCGGTGGCCTTCAATCGACGATCCGCGAGCGGCGCCCTCGCGTCGCCTCCGCACGCCTCGCATCCTCCGAGTGCGTATGCGCACGTTCACACGTGGAAGTGACCCCGCAAATCCATCGGGGGGGGAGGGGGGGGGTCCTAGATGTAGTGAATCCACGAGTCCTCGTAGTCCCGCGGCGGAGACAGCTTGAGGCAGTGGCACCGCACGACGTAATTGGCGCCGCCGTTGTTGTCCCAGTACTGCTGACCCTTGGACACGAACAACACGGCGAACTGTATCAGCGCGCCTGCCTCCATGAAGGGCGGCGTCTTGATGGAGAAGCCGAACTTGTCCGTGTGGCCGTCGCTCGAACCCGGCACGTACGTCGCCACCACCTCTTGCTGCGTCGCCCAGCCGTTGAGCGAATAGCGCACCGACACAAACTTCTCAAAGTGCAGGTTAAGCACCCTAATGAGACCGTGCAGCCCAAGCTCCGACGTGACCACCAGGCTCTCGAGGGACACCTTCTGTGACCGCACGCGCTCCAGGAAGTCTGGCGTCGTGCCCGGCTGCTGAAACTGCGGCTCCAGGAAGCGGCTCTCGATCCGCTGGCTGTAGCCGAAGCGCGGCACGCTACCGCTTGCGCTGCCGCGGCGCAGCTGGGAGAGCACGCGGTTCGGGATGGACACCTCCTCGCTGTTGCTGTAGTGGCGCACGCTGATGAGGTCGAGCCCCAGCGAGTCGGCGAAGCGCACGCGCTTGCGCGTGTTGGGTGTCACCGTGCCGCTCGCCGCTGCCGCCTGCTTGGCGCGCACCGATGGTGGGGGTAGTGACTTGGCGCGCCTTCGCAGGAGCGGTAGCGACGCAGGGCTGTCCATCATGATGTAGTCGCACGGCCGGCCGAAGGCGTGCATCTCTGCCCAAGCGCTGCACGGGCCCTGTGCAGGCGCGACGTCCTCACCGCCGTGGCCGCCGCTGGGCCCGTTGGAGGCCGCCGCCGCCGCGGGGCCGCCGCCGTCGCACTCCTCTTTGGTGGCGCAGAGCGCCGAGCTCTCGTTGGAGAAGTGCATCTTCTCCAAGAGGTCCGACACGTAGCTCAGGTTGCGGGGGATGCTCATCTTGACGGGCCCGTTCGCCGATGCGGGCTCTGGCGCGGCGGGCACGGCGGTGTCGGCGTCGGCGTCGGAGGCAGGATCCGCGGCGGGGTTCTCGCTCGCTCGGTGGAGAGACGATGGAACACTTCGCTCCATTATCCTTGGGACCAAGTACATACATACACGTGTGCGCATGTACATACCCGCACGCACAACGACACATGCGCTTGTGTTCAAAAGCTCTGTGCGTGAACAAGGTGTTAAGATGTGAAGGTCGCATGAGTGGCATTGAACAGTCAAACAGGCACAGCTCTCAAAGGGATAGTGACTCTGGCCATGATTGTGCTGATGGCACATATCCAGGAGGGTTTTTAAAAGGTTTTTGAGAATTGCATACAGCAAAAGGTCACAAATTCACATGGATTACCGTCCTTAATGTTAATATACACAAGTCACATCAATGCCAAGTGAAACTATCACTGTATATGACCACTAAACTAAAGATTGGGTGTCAGAATAAGTGTGTGCCAAATATGTTTCATGTTAATTAATTATCAAAACTTTCTGACTCTCTCTCCAGAGATGCGTGGATGTCCACGTATAACCATTGTACATAGTTTACCCTGCACCTATGTGTGCACTGAATGTATGCATGGATGCTTTTGTGTACGTTGTAAAGTATAGCACGTGTGTGCTTATGTATGCAGTGTAAATATATGCATTTGTAGTATTTATGTGGGGCATTACCGTTAGTGACATGTACTGTGGGCATAGTGTATTACTACGTGTGTAGATAACACACTGGTTAGGTGTGTACATATGCCGTGTATGTGTTACTGCAGCTTGTATAGTGTACGGTGCGGTGTGTGTGGCGCGTGTATGCACTTGCCATGCATGAAGCGGTACACGTGTGTAGTGTAAGCATTCAATACATGAGTTTTGTATGTAGCGTTGCCACGAGCAAGGTGTGGTATGCATGGTGTATACAATGCAATGTCTACATCATCTGAACGTGACTGCATCTCAATACGCTGTACAGAGAGCGGCATGGATGTCATTGCACCTAAGGCAAAGATAATGGATTTTTCTTAAGATGTAGGGGGAGCAGGGTGCGGGGGAAGGAAGTTTGTTTTTGTACGGAATAAACACAACTGGGCAGATGGAATCAGATCATTAGCCTGGGCTTGACAAGCAGGTTGTGCCAGGAGACGTTCCAGACCGTGGGAACAGCAGTGGAGAAGTAGCGACCACCCATGGAATGTGTGTAGGTCGAATGGGGGAGGCCCCGGTGGATGAAGTGGCGAGCATGCAGACACAGAGAGGAAGTCGCCATACCCACCACCCACTTGCCTGTGCCAGTATTACACGGAAGCTGCGGGGGTATACGGACTTCCCGCCCACCCCACGTTTAACGCGCAATACGATGTACAGATAGAGTCTAGTCGTGGTGTTGACTGTGCTATGTATCTGTGTCGTGCGGGTGCATCAGTGTATGGGGTTAAATTCATACCTACGCAGCACACTTCTTACCATGCTGGCGCAGGGTACATCTGCGTTGTGTACCGTCTCATTACACGTCCCACGGTGTTAGTGAGGAGTATAAGAATCATCCAGCCCCGTGAAAGAAGAAGCCTGTAACACCTGTTATGCATGGTGGGTCGCCTATCCAAGTACTGCAGGTTGACCAGCGTGGTGAAGTATGGTTTAAACACCCCCCCCCCCCCCACGACCAGACCCTTCATCGAGCTGTGGAGTAACACGAACAAACTAACCCTGCGCACTCTGCATTACTGACGTGGCGTGCGCATGCGAGGTGCATTGCCATAGAGCGTCCCTGTGATGATCTTAGTAGTTGGTGCCCTGCACGTCCCTGTGATGATCTTAGTAGTTGGTGCCCTCCACGTCCCTGCGATGATCTTAGTAGTTGGTGCCCTGCACGTCCCTGCGATGATCTTAGTAGTTGGTGCCTGCACGTCCCTGTGATGATCTTAGTAGTTGGTGCCCTGCACGTCCCTGTGATGATCTTAGTAGTTGGTGCCCTGCACGTCCCTGTGATGATCTTAGTAGTTGGTGCCTGCACGTCCCTGCGATGATCTTAGTAGTTGGTGCCCTGCACGTCCCTGTGATGATCTTAGTAGTTGGTGCCCTGCACGTCCCTGTGATGATCTTAGTAGTTGGTGCCCTGCACGTCCCTGTGATGATCTTAGTAGTTGGTGCCCTGCACGTCCCTGTGATGATCTTAGTAGTTGGTGCCCTGCACGTCCCTGTGATGATCTTAGTAGTTGGTGCCCTGCACGTCCCTGCGATGATCTTAGTAGTTGGTGCCCTGCACGTCCCTGTGATGATCTTAGTAGTTGGTGCCCTGCACGTCCCTGTGATGATCTTAGTAGTTGGTGCCCTGCACTGCACTGTGGTGGTGTGCACCGTGCGTGCATCGTGCACGTGGTGACGACTGTGTGCAGGATGTCCCCCCCTATCGTCACCTGCAGTATTGTATCCATCTGTACTGAGCATGTGCAGTGTCTACTACTACAGTGCACATTGTTCCCATTTACCGTGACAGTAGTAAAGTACAAACCCTCCTGCACGCTCACCGCTATGCAGTACAATATTGCGAATGTGTAAACACACACACACACGTAGCATGTCATGTGTACATGTATCATGTCATGTGTACATGTATCATGTCATGTGTACATGTATCATGTCATGTGTACATGTATCATGTCATGTGTACATGTAGCATGTCATGTGTACCTGTATCATATCATGTGTACATGTAGCATGTCATGTGTACATGCATCATGTCATGTGTACATGTAGCATGTCATGTGTACATGTATCATATCATGTGTACATGTAGCATGTCATGTGTACATGTATCATGTCATGTGTACATGAATCATGTCATGTCTACCTGTATCATGTCATGTGTACATGTATCATGTCATGTGTACCTGTATCATGTCATGTGTACATGAATCATGTCATGTGCACATGTATCATGTCATGTGTACATGTATCATGTCATGTCTACCTGTACATGTCATGTGTACATGAATCATGTCATGTGTACATGTATCATGTCATGTGTACATGAATCATGTCATGTGCACATGTATCATGTCATGTCTATCTGTATCATGTCATGTGTACATGTATCATGTCATGTGTACATGTATCATGTCATGTGTACATGAATCATGTCATGTGCACATGTATCATGTCATGTCTACCTGTATCATGTCATGTGTACATGTATCATGTCATGTGTACATGAATCATGTCATGTGCACATGTATCATGTCATGTGTACATGTAGCATGTCATGTGTACATGTATCATGTCATGTGTACATGTAGCATGTCATGTGTACATGTATAATGTCATGTGTACATGTATCATGTCATGTGTACATGTAGCATGTCATGTGTACATGTATCATGTCATGTGTACATGTAGCATGTAATGTGTACATGTATCATGTCATGTGTACATGTATCATGTCATGTGTACATGTATCATGTCATGTGTACATGTAGCATGTCATGTCTACCTGTATCATGTCATGTGTACATGTATCATGTCATGTGTACATGTATCATGTCATGTGTACATGTAGCATGTCATGTGTACATGTACTGCATTATGACCGTGTCCATACAATAGACGACTACCACACACAACATCTGTATACGTGTGTAGTAAATGCAGTTAGCATGTAAATTGCATAAGCTAAACACACATTGCACATTACTCATAGAATGTGTAGTGGAGTATGCACCTATCGTGTATACCAATGAGTACACAATATTCACAAAGAATACGTGTGTGTTGCAGTATATGCACGTGTACATCGTATAGAGTATTCACAGAGAATCGAGTATGCAATATAGAATACTGTGTGTGCATATCCCGCTGCGCCTGTAGTGATTGCAGTCGTGTGTCACCACGTACATGGCGCGTCGTTTACATGACGTACGTGCGTGTGTAGCCTTGCATTGCATGCAGGGCTACACACACACGTACATGCTACATGTACACACACACACACGTGTGTGTACATGCTACATGTACACACGGGGCAAGGGGACCCACACTGACCGACACGGATTGAATCTTCAGAGCACCGAGGAGAGAGCCTCTCCGCTCACGCGCGTTCACCGGCAGAGCGTCCCCGTCGTCGTCATCGTCGTCAGTCTCTCTCAGAGGGGGCCAGGGGAAGTCGGTCGGACAACGACGGCGCTCAACTGCTCGCTCACGACTTACGTGAGGTCTCCGTTGATGGGCAGCATGGAGGGAAGCAGAGCGAGCGGGGGGAGGCAATGAGGAGGAGGAGGAGGAGACGGGATGGATGTTCCACCGGCGACAACAGCGACGCGAGCCCGAATGAAAATAAAACCTTCCAGCGAGATTCTCCCACGCAGCTGCGGCTCCTCCTCCCCCGACCACCACGTCAATTATTCAGACCCCTCCTCCTCCCCCTCCTCCCCCCCCTCCTCCTCCGACCCCTCCTCCTCCCCCTCCTCCCCCCCCTCCTCCTCCTCCCCCTCCTCCTCCTCCCCCTCCTCCTCCCCCCCCTCCTCCTCCCCCCCTCCTCCTCCTCCCCCTCCTCCTCCTCCCCCCCTCCTCCTCCCCCTCCTCCCCCCCCTCCTCCTCCTCCCCCCCCTCCTCCTCCTCCCCCCCCTCCTCCTCCCCCCCCTCCTCCTCCTCCCCCCCCTCCTCCTCCTCCCCCCCCTCCTCCTCCCCCTCCTCCTCCTCCCCCTCCTCCTCCTCCCCCTCCTCCTCCTCCTTCCCCTCCTCCTCCTCCCCCTCTCCTCCCCCCCCTCCTCCTCCTCCTCCCCCTCCTCCCCCCCTCCTCCCCCCCCTCCTCCTCCCCCCCTCCTCCTCCCCCTCCTCCTCCCCCCCTCCTCCTCCCCCCCTCCTCCTCCCCCCCTCCTCCTCCTCCCCCTCCTCCTCCTCCCCCCCCTCCTCCCCCCCTCCTCCCCCTCCTCCTCCTCCCCCTCCTCCTCCCCCCCCTCACCCCCCTCCTCCCCCCCCTCCTCCCCCCCCTCCTCCTCCCCCCCCTCCTCCTCCTCCCCCTCCTGCTGCTGCTGCCCTTCCTCCCGCCCCCGGCTCTCCCTTCCTCCTCTGACGTCACCCCCCTCCCTCCACCTTCTCGCCGTCAATGCCCCGGAGCCACCGCCAGGAGCGCTCTCGCCCCCCCCCCCCTTGGCCCCCCCCACCCCCTTGGCCCCTCCCCCCCACCCCCTTGGCCCCTCCCCCCCACCCCCTTGCCCCCCCCCACCCCCTTGGCCCCTCCCCCCCACCCCCTTGCCCCCCCCCCTTGGGCCCACCCCCTTGGCCCCTCCCCCCACCCCCTTGGCCCCTCCCCCCCACCGCCTTGGCCCCTCCCCCCCACCCCCTTGGCCCCTCCCCCCCACCCCCTTGGCCCCTCCCCCCCACCGCCTTGGCCCCTCCCCCCCCACCCCCTTGGCCCCTCCCCCCCACCGCCTTGGCCCCTCCCCCCCACCCCCTTGCCCCCCCCCCACTAACCACGAGCGCAGCGGTCCCTGTGAACAACCCGCGGCCAAGTCGCCGCCGAAGCCGCACCAACTGCAGGGGGCACCGCGGTGGCTGGGGGAGATGTTCGTGAGATGTTGTAGTATATGCTTCAAGAGATGTTCGTGTGATGTTGTAGTATATGCTACAAGAGATGTTGGTGAGATGTTGTAGTATATGCTTCAAGAGATGTTCGTGTGATGTTGTAGTATATGCTACAAGAGATGTTCGTGAGGTGTTGTAGTATATGCTACAAGAGATGTTCGTGAGGTGTTGTAGTATATGCTACAAGAGATGTTCGTGAGATGTTGTAGTATATGCTACAAGAGATGTTCACCACCTCGCCCGGTGCGCAGGAGGTCGTGGGTTCCATCCCGACCCTGACGCCTGCTGCTGCTGCTGTCTATTTGGAGTTTGCGTTTCTCTCTCCCCGTGGCCGCGTGGATTTTTTTCCGGGTCCTCCGGTTTTCCCCTCCACATTTATAATAAAGTCACGCGTTTAGAGTATTTGGCTGCTATAAATTCCCACGGAATAAGCCACTTCTTTTAGCAATTATTTGTGGCCAAGTTGCTTGTGAAAAAGAGCTATATAGCTCAGTGGGCCTTACCTAGTAAAATACAAATCTAACTTAGTTTTAACTAGCACGAAGGTATTACCGTATTCTCCGCATTATATGCCGCACTGCCCCCCTCCCAACCCCCGTATTTGAAAGCATCATTTGGGGGTGCCTCTGATACGCGGTAGGTTTGTGTGTGTGTGTGACCATATTTGTATAACCACAGTTCTGCATTGGACACGCGTTTCGAGTGCGGCTTACTTTCCGGAGTGTCTCATCATCCTCAGAATACGGTGATACCGACTCGGAACCATCAACGTCTCATCGGCACCATCAAAACTTCGCCACCACCACTGGCCGCCATTATTAATCCACAGCCAACACCATGGCTGCCCCACCGCAAGACCGCTTTTGCACCAACAACAAAGGCAGCCATTCGTCACGAAGTGGCGGTGACGCCACCACGGCGCCTGTGCCAGACCAGGTGCACTTTGAGGCCACTTGAAGCGTCGAAAGCTCGCTGATAAGGGGGTCACGGGGGAGACCCAGCAGGTGCCATGGTTCGACTGACTGAGATGACTGTCAGATTCACTAGCAACACTCCCATCACACGCATCGTTAATGCCCCCACCACCGACTGCACCATCGATGCCTTGACATCAAACGCCAACGCAAGCACCATACATTCCCCCAGCTCCCCAGCCCTCATTGTATGTATATATGCATTACCTTCTTTCGCACCGTACGTAGCCAACCGTGATAATCATTGCCATCAGTAGCAATTCTATTGGAGTGAAGGGAGCCCTAATAATGCCTGCATTGCGTCTGCAGTTGTGATGATGATGCTGGAGCAGGCGGAGATGTTTTGCTCTCCGAGGACACTGTATATTTATCAGTGAGCAGTGGCCGGGGGGTAGGACGCTTGACTGAGTATTGGGCTGGGATAGCTCTGGACAGAAACCCAGGGGCACCCATACACAAGGGACACACGCGGAAACACGGCATTGGGAAATCAAGATTTTTCTAAATGTGGTAATTCGCTCGTTTCTAGCAAGCGGTACGGAATTTATCCGCATACATATGATGAATTGATAGAACGAGCAATCTTACGTTTTTGATTGTGAGCATTATATTCATCACTATCATCGACTTTGTGGCTCTTGCTCAATGATAAACATCAACCACTGTATTTTGCCAGTCAAGGCTAAATGTAGCTTCACGTGGGAAGTGCCCGCTTGTCTGACGTCAAACACTGCGTGTTACACACGCACTGCACACTCAAACAGTGCGTATGTCATTCCTCCAAATGTTTTTTTTACATGTTCGTTAATTACCTAATGCGTTACATATTGCACACTTAAGGTTAATTTACGTATTTATATACACTAATGCCTATTTCGTGACTTATTCATATTTCACTGCACTGTGCTATGAACCCGGCGACCTGAGGTTCAGTTCCCGGTCACGGATAACATCAGTGGGCCAGTGACACCTTGGAGCTCCCCTTCACTAACGCACACTGGGCATCGTGGTGAAGTATGGCCAAACAACCCCCATGAATGACGAGCTGTGGGGAGACCGTCCAGCAGTCGATTGAAAAGGGGATATAATTTTTATACTAAATTGTTATGCTTTATGTTGCACTATACGTTCATATTGATGTTATGTTATGATTAATGCAAGCTCTGACTCTGGACAGCTCCCTCTAGAGATTGATTTGGCCTACTCTTCCACGTTGGCCAGGGCGCCACGGTGGCGAGATGTTAACGACCTCACTGCTATGCAGAAAGTCGTGGGTTCGATCCCGACCCCGAGGCCTGTATATTTGGGGTTTGCAAGTTCTCCCCGTGGTCGCGTGGATTTTTTTTTCGTGTTCTCCGGTCCCCATCCCCGACACATTTAAAAACATGCGTTGAGAGTATTTGGCTACTATACATTTCCGCATGATAAGCCACTTCGTTGGGCTATCATCTGTGGCCAGGTCGCTTGTGAAAAAGAGCTACATAGCTCAGTGGGCGTTATCTGGTAAAATAAACAAACATCGTTTAGTCTTAGCAAGGGGGGAATACCCACACTTTACCCCACCACGTTACCTGTCGATCAACTGTGGTGTCCCCATTTAAACTGCTGCGTGAGATTGAATAAACTTGCCGCCCATTATTCATCTGTTTGTAGCCCTTAACCAGTGGTGGAAATTCCACATCCCCATGGCGGGGGAGAATATTTCCCCGTGTTACTCCTCGCAATGTTGTTTTAAAATTTCGTATTATTGACTCCAGACGGCCGAGAGAGACGATGGCTGAGTCATTCCCCAAGCAGGATTTGAGCTTGCAACCTTCCACTAAGCCACCTTCATATATGAGCAGATAGGTGATGCAGATAGGTGACTTTGTATATTTGTATGCTGTGGCTGTGTGGAGCAATATACTACGGGGCTTTATTGATGAGCAATGTTAAAGGCACGATCTATTCCCTTTAACAGAAACATTAAAGGTTCCCTCTTAAGTCTTAACAGCACGAGGCGGCTGTGTCCATTCATTGACTCACAAACTGTCCACGTGCAGTGCACCTTGCGGCACGGACCACACCACTGCTCGTTTTGCAAGGGAGAGGGGGCTTGAATGAGAGAAATTGCTTGCCTTACACAGCACCGATATAGCATCTGCTTGCGCTGATAACATTATTACTCTTTATCACGGCCGAGCGCTGATAACAAATGCAATATAGAGTGGCGAGATAAGCAGAAGAGGCCGGTTGCAGCATTAGTCCCACCCAACCCTACATAATTCGGATTGGTAAGTGCGCAATCTTAAATCTTAACGCTAAAACCTTGTCAGCTTGACTCGACACTTTCCATTCATGTAAAGCCTCTTCTGCAATCCACTGCTAGATGACGGCCTCCTTCCAACGCCACCGCAGGTCGTGGGGCTAGTCGACCATGCTCCACCATGAAGGTCTGTGCGGGGTTGGTCAAGGTGAGGATGAGCATAAAAGTAAACTCTCAAGACGCTAAATAAACCCTGAAACTGTTAGAGGATATTGCTGAGAAGGGCACCTTTCTTTACTGGTTGATGTTACTGCTTTTATAATTTGAACTATGAACGGGTATTTATAGGGGTGGGGTGGTGTACTATGAACTATGCAACTTTCGTTTGATTGCTGTGCACGGTTAGCATCAGTGGCGAGTGATGTGTGGTCTGGTCCTGGACCATGCTCCCCTTCACACCAACTGCCCAGCACGCTCAAGTATGGTCACCCCCCCCCACCTCCTTCCACCGGAACGAGACACTGGTGGAAGACCTTAATCCAGCAGTGGATTGACAAAGGGATGTACACACATTATAATTAGTGTTCATTTTGGCTTCATATGCCCACGATCTAGACAATCGATGAGGGTTTCAGTTTTCAGATACAATGTTTGAATGGTTTATAGCATCTATTAAAAGGTAATCTGCCACCCAATATCACACATTACAGTCATAACTGCAATTATGTGAATAAACTACAAGGACATTCGCAAAATACACATTTGCAGATGTTCAGATGCACAGATGCACATTAACACATTTAAGATTATCTTGGGGCAGGCACGTGGAGAAAAAAAGGCAAGCTTGACATCAACATTTTGTCCTAAGACCAAATCACCCAAAAGGCACACCGATTTGAGATCTGGTCAGATATCGGAAGCTAAGCAGGTGTTTAACCTGGGTAGTACTAGGATGGGTGATCGCCATGGGTAAACGACAGGTGAAATGGACGTGCATGGCCGTGCAGCAAAAAAAAAGACGTTTGTTAATTGCACTCCCCCACGTTGACCAATCCGCACTGACCAGCGTGGGGAAGTATCGTCAAGTATTCCTCACGACACCACAGGGGCATTGGGAGACCCTCATGGAACCAGCGATTTGGTAAAAAAAAAAAACGAGCCCGCGTATGCACTATACCACGGAGCTGAAAGCCCGCGAATATGTATTTATATTGGACAAATCTCACTCGCCTGCCATATGCTGAACATTGTGCAGCATCGCCAAAAAGGCCCTCTCAGCGAGAAGTAGCAGAACGTCTAAATGACAGCGTGACGTCAGTAGCAAAAGTAGGCCATCGGCTGCTTGTTTATTTTTTGTGCTAAATTATTAAATTATCCAAAGCACAGCACGATACATGACAAAAAAAAATTCCATGTAAAATAAACACGGTCATTAACCTCACATTATGTATAACGGTCACGTAAGTATAAGTGGGGAATTGATGTGCATGATAATGACATCGCAAGTAAAAATTACAATAGTCACAGTTGCGGATTTGTGTCAAACGCAGTATAAAATGTAGGGCAGGTTTGTCAATGAGTAATGCAAGTGGGATTGAATTCACGTGGCTGGTTACAAGCAAGGCAGCCTCCTAATTACGTGAAAGGGCTGCCTTTTGCAGGGATTGGTAGGGCTTGTATTACATCACACCTCCCTACCCCTTCCTCTACCCCCAGGGGCATCCATTCTCTCGACACGTGCAAATATCACGGTCCGCAATGGCTGCGATTTGTTAAGACCGGGCTGATGGACAAAATCAGCTCAGCTGCGCCACCCTCAGGATTGGTGCACCTTCCTAGCCAGAGTCGAAGTTGTGGAGTGTGCAGAATGCCCCCTCTGCAGGGTTGTTGTCTACTCTTCCAGAACAGCAAGAACCTTGAAAACTGTGGACCTCTGGAGACCTGGGTTCCAAGCACCGAAGGGCTCACGAAATTCCATAGATGGAGCAGGCCAACATTTGTAGGATTTCAGAACCAGAATATGTATTTATACTGGAGGAATCTAATGAGCTATAAAACACTTTTTCACAGATGCCCAGTAGGGGCGGGTCAGACCGTTACAACAACAAACTTTACAGAAAACATGTTAGGGGTTCAAAGCATAGAAAAGTTAAGCAAATCACAGACAAAAAATACAAATAAAACTAATCTATGTTTATTTTACTAGGTAAGGCCCACCGAGCTATTAGCTTCTTTTTCAGAAGCGACCTGCCCACAAATGGTAGCTCAACGAGGTGGCTTATCTTGTGGCAATTGATACAATTTGCGCTTAAGGGGATTGCGTAAATGTATGCGAGATTCTACAGGTGATAGCGAGCAGCCTCATGCTTAACATATTACATCCACACACACCCATGCTCTCCACAAACATACCATCACAAATACACACAGACACAATATCACAAATACACACAGACACAATATCACAAATACACAGACACAATATCACAAACACACAGACACAAAATCACAAATACACACAGACACAATATAAAAAATACACACAGACACAATATCAGATACACACAGATACAATCTCACAGATACACACAGACACAATATCACAGATCCATACAGACACAATCTCACATATACACACAGACACAATATCACAGATACACAGACACAATATCACAGATACACACAGACACAATCTCACAGATACACACAAACACAATATCACAGATCCACACATACACAATCTCACATATACACACAGACACAATATCACAGATACACAGACACAATATCACAGATACAATATCACAGACACAATATCACAAATACAATATCACAGACACAATATCACAGACACAATATCACAGACACAATATCACAGACACAATATCACAGACACAATATCACAGACACAATATCACAGACACAATATCACAAACACAATATCACAGATACAATATCACGTACACAATATCACAGATACAATATCACAGACACAATATCACAGATAGACACAGACACAATATCACAAATACACACAGATACAATATCACAGATACACACAGACACAATATCACAGATACACAGGCTATCACAAATATACAAGCACACGGTGACGCTCAGCAAGACAAACTCACGCACAGACTCAGACTCACAGAGATTCGCGCAGAGACACAGAGAATTGTAATTAAGGTTTTTTGTTGTTGCATGTTGCAGTTACAATTCAGGCAAAATTACTTCATTCTCACAGTTCTCATTATGGCATTCTTACATGATTTTTACAGTTGATATACATTATGATTTACATAATTATATCCATTCTGAGCGCATTGATACCCAATTCCATAAGTTCTGATGAAGACGTGATATTATTTTAACATTGGCAGTGGATGCATTTTTACATGAGTCTAACATGTATAATGTGTGTGTTGTTTCATTATTCCGAAAGTTCTAATCAAGACATTGTTAAATCATCATAGCAGTTTTAATTACGTTGTTTTACACCACTCTCACCTACTAATTTATGTTCCATAATTCTCTATCAGTTCTAATCAAGACATTGTTACATCATGCTATCTGTTTAAACGGATGTATTGGTACACCTGTGTATTGGTACATAGGTAACATTTGGAGAATAAGACACTGGCTGAATGAATTGACAATGGTAAGAATAACAAAGGTCTAAAATGTAATGGTCTCTGCTGGATCAAGAAAGAGATGTTGAGATGATGTGAATAACACATATTGGGGGGGGGGGGGGAGATTCATGAATAATAGCAGGAGTGGATTTTTTAGAAAATAATTTGAGTGTGGCGTTGAGCAGCACAGTTGCAGAATAACCTAACAGAAAGACCAATGGAATGAGCAATATGTACCGATGTATGCTGAACTTCTTTCGTACCATACGTAGCCAACCGTGTTCATGGGAGGTGGAGAAAAAATGGTGACTAAGAGGCAGATTGATAATACGTAGGACTGAAATGGCCTCAACATATAAGAATGTTGGAGCAGTGGACAATGTTAAAAGATGGCGATCCCTGGCAGCCAAGCTCTGAGTTAGCGGCAGCACAGATGATTGTTGTGTATGCCTCAGCAAGTTGATTGACGTGAGAAGCAACAAGAGTATAGCTTTAGGAGACTTTATCCTTCTTCATGGCCTTTGAGCCAAAGTAGGAAACGTCAGCATCCTGAAAAGATAGCCAAACAAGCCTATTAATGACTTTCTAGAACTCAAAACAAGCTGTAGTAACTGTGAAAAAAACCCTCAACACTCATCAACAACACCGTGGCCATTAAAAGAGAAAATATATAATCGCCAATGTTTGTGGCAATGGTCCTTCTTCAGAGCACATTAACAGAGGCCAGAGAGAGATCGTTAATGTGCGTTATGCACTTAACAACATGGGGCCTGAGGAGAATTAAATTGTAAATATGTTTTTTGATGACCAGTTTGAAATAGGCATATAGACAGTTATTGAATAGTGTTGAGTACTAGACAAACCCCTGAATAATCAAACATATTACTAAATAAACTAATTTATATTGAAAGCTAAATTATAAAATGTTGCTGGAACAATGCATGGTGGGAAGGTTATTGTGAGGACAAACGAGGCACAGCCTCCTTGGCAGTACATTACGGTGCCCAATTACAATTAAAATAAAAGGAATTTAATTGGCATGCATTTCTGAGGAAAATGTATTGCTGATGAGCCAGAAGCTTGCACAAGCACAGCCAAAAAAAGACCAGACACAAAAATCTGAACGTGCTGTTCAACACGGTTACATCTAAAGCAGAGAAGCCTGGGAAATAAAATATGGAGAACTATGACATGTAAAATAAATCAAATGAAACTAGATAGAGATATGGTTTGTCCAGCACACAATAACAAAGTGACGCTCTAAGTGGATGTGAGGCATTAATTCGGCCCTGCCGGGTGAACAGTATTCAGTTTCAACATGATGTGGTGGCCTTCTGTCCCTTTTCTGGCTTCATTCCCCCCACCCCCATCATAAATGAAAGCCGAGGCCATGCATGCGTTCACCAGTTTCTCCAATGTGAGCCAGATTGGTGGAGGTGCGTGTAAATCCGTGAGCTGTCACACACGGTGCTCTGGGTGTTTTTCTACTTGTATCTGCGTATCAGTGATGACACATGGACGGCTTGCATCTTCTGATCGCACGGGACAGTGCCTGGTTGTGCAATTACTGGTCATGTTTAGCATTGAGCTGTGTACTGGCAGGTCCCCCGAGGTTTGTTATTCTGAGGGATTCGCATGAAGCTGGTTCCTTAAAAATGTTGGCAGTCCATGTGTCACCCCTAAAGGATATGAAAAATGTGAATGATGATAGGTCAGAGTAACTACTGTTTTTGCAGGAGGATCCTGCCGAGTTTTTGCAGGAGGGGGCGATGTTGCTGCTGTGTGCCACCCGATTGGATAATCGCGTCAGTGCATCTACACTATGGGGACCTCATTTGCCAGTGAAAATATGATAATTGGTTCTTTACCCTTTCAATCAACTTCAAGGACAGTGCACATTATCAGAGTTATGTCTTTTGTTTGTATTTATGACTGCAGGTATTGCGGTCTATGCAAACATGACTCCTTGCAAAAAGGTGTCAGTTTTGTTGCCAGATAGAAGGGTAAAGAACCAATTATCACGTTAGTGCAATCACAATGAAGGTAGTAGACCTTACCAGCCCATTGCGAAAGTTGGAGATGCGACGACGTCCAATTTTGGCAGTGAGGCGCCACGCCAGGGTGGGCGTGTACTGCCACAGGTAAGCTGCAGACAGGTACGGCTGCTGGGCTATCCAGGCCTCAGGGAGGCGGGCGGCCAGGCTCACGGCGATGAGGCGTGCACATCGCTCGGCGGACATTTTATAAGTTTGATCTTTTTGCTCACCCACAGCCTATGCAGAGAAAAAGGTGTGCCACATTAACATTTTATAATATTGAGTGCATTAAAATTAGATTGAAATAGCGCTGCCAACACATTGTAGAACAAAAACAACATCCCGAGTGTCGTTAAGAGGGTGCAAACAATTAACAGCTCACAGCTCTTCTAATGTGCAGAGCACTACCATATTTTATGATGTGATACATCTGCCGTCTCCTGGCAAAAATATTAATTCCACATTCCCAATGGAAATTTTACCAAAAAACACATTGATATAGGTTACATAATTATTAAGTAAGTATTTTACACCCTTGAAACGCCCTTGTATTTTATATATGAGGTCAGGGTAATATTGAACTATAAGTAAAACAAAACACTAAAAAACGGAAATATATATAATTATTAAACACAAATAGATGATTGAGGTAAAATCATATCATAGCCATCACCTTTAATCACTAGGGTGTGTGTCTACTGACCTCGTCACCCTTTCCAGAAAAGGCATTGCTGATGATGTGGGACTGGACGGGCCCAGGGCACACCGTGCTGACCGTGATTTGTGGGTACTCGTCCAGCTCCGAGCGTAGAGCATTAAACGCACCCTGAGAGCAGAGATGACAATCACACCAGAATCAGAATCTTTATTTATCCTGGATAAATCCGATGAGCTATGATGCTCCTTCTCACAGATGTCCAGCAGGGAGGAGCAGGTCAGAAAGTGACAACAACAAACCAATGATTGGAGTGCAAAGTAAGGGAAAGGTAAGCAAATCACAAATAAATAAACAATTAAACTATTTTTATTTTACTTGGTAAAGCCCACTTAGCTATTAGTTGTTTTTCAGAAGCGACCTGGCCACAAATGATAGCTCAATGAAGAATATCTCAATGAAATGGTTTGTTTGATAATGTATAGCAGCCAAATTATCTAAATGCATGTTTCTAATTGTGGAGGGAAAAACCAGAGGATCCGTAAAAAAAATCCACGCGACCACGGGGAGAGCATGCAAACTCCAAATATACAGGTGTCAGGGTCGGGATCGAACCCACGACCTCCTGTATACCAGGCGAGGAAGATAAGCAATGCATCAATATCAGACAACATAGTTATGGAACATATATGTTTGACTCATTCAATAATTATCTTTGAGCAATATGCATAAAAGGTCTTTCTTATTCTCAAAGCCTGAGAGCCATGGGCTTGAGTCTGCCCACGATACTTTTTGTAACCTATGGACTAAATATTACGTTTAGTTTTATAATGAACTAATTTATTTGGGGTTCTTATAAAATCATTGTAGTGTTCACATCACTACCAAGGATGTGCAATTTGCATTGTTGTCATTGCCAGCAGAAAGAGTGATCCTCTGAGGATGACATCAATTTTCCTGGTGTGGACAGAGAGGGACAATGCGTGCAACACACCAGCATATGAATGTTCGTTAGAGGTTCAATAATTGTCCTTTTGCAACCTTTTCTTCCAAATTACATCCATAATGCGTTTTCAACCACATGTTCTTCCAAATTGCTTACAGTACATTGCTATAATTGTCCTGGCTCCGTGCCTCAGATTTACGGTCATTTATATCTGAAATATTGTCCGTGTTACAAAATAAATTATGATGCAATTCTGAAAGATTCGTTGAAATACCAGAAACTGCATTATGCCATTTTTTTCAGCCTTGCAGAGGAAACAGGCAAGTTGTCTCAAATACCCAATTCTACCAGAGTAAGTCGCACAAATAAACCTGTATTACAACAGACGATAATACGTTACATTATAACAAGAACGTCGGAAATCTTTTACAAAAAAAACTCAAGGCACACAGCACTGTATTTCCATGGTGTCATAAGAACATTATGTAGACCTTCACATAAATTGTGCACATTGTACAATGAGAGCATTTGTTTAAGCTTATATGGGACTGTTGCTTTTTACTTTTTCAGTGCTTCTAGTTATGTTAACTTTTGTGTTTTATATGCCGATGCTCTGCAAAGCTACTGACCTGCACAGCGTGCTTGGAAGCACAATATCCGGCTGAGAGCGGAACTCCGGCCAGCCCAGCAATGCTACTCACGGCAAGGAGAATGCCCCCGTGACTACCGGGTGCCATCATGCCAGGAAGAACACAGCGTGCCAGGGACACAGGGGCCAGCACGTTGAGTTCAAAGAGTGTCCGGTACACACAGAGGTCCGTGTCCACAAAGAGTGACCGCTGAGAGCGTCCAGCGTTATTGACCAAAACGTCAACCTGCATGGAGATGAGTTGAAAAAGGGTCAACGGGGGTGGGAGAATATGGATATTTGCGGCGTAATGTTTACCTGAAACGGTAGCCCTGAAAAGGAATGTCATCAAATGATGAAAGCATTTTACAAAGAAGGCTGAGAAGTGGGACTTAACAAAAATATGATTAAAAAACAAAGTAATGTACAACAAATATTCTTTTAATAACATTGAATGTAAATTTGGAAATACAGTAGAATGTGCATCTCGGGTAGTTTTCAAAGTGATCAGGATCAAAATGATTAAATAAAGAGAACAAGAGCAGGTCGGAGGGCCTTTATGATGAATAAGAGAAGATGCTCATGAATCAGTGCATTACACTGAGAGATCATAAAAGGAGCGCATCGATCAGTGAGCACACACAAATGGGTGACACCGTATTGACAATTAAGAAAAGTTAATGGGCATGAGCAGGCCACATTGCTAGACTGAATGATGGCCAACAGTTGAGACCCGTGGCAGAATAGCAGCCACAGGAGAGATCCCAAAGAGATGGCCAGTCTGGGAAAGAAGAGACAGGAGATCAGCTCATGTGCAGAAGTGAGGCCTACGGTAGCCAGTACGGACCATGAGGGATGGCAACAGCGTAGGAAGGCCTTCATCCAGCAGTGGATAGACAATGGCTGACGGTGATATTCAACACGTTGAGAGGAGTGATTACACTCACACCAAGCTCATCGTAGTGGCCTTGGTGGTCAAGTGAATTGCCATGGGGATTGGGAATCTTGGGACGTGGGGAACATGGATTGTGAACACCATGTCTTCATACGGCAGCTGTAATGTTACCTTGGCTCACTAACACAGGATCTGAGTTCACATTATCCAAACAGTCGCCCCTCCCTGCCATAGGAATGTAGAATTTCCATCACTGGCTTAGGCCGGGGAGCTAAAAATAGATGAGCAAAACCCCATGCTTGTTCAAGTAATAAAAATATATGTACAATGCAGTTTACCAATCAACGTTTTAACATTTTTTTTAGTGCACACAATTGTTTGTTAACCGATTTCACAAGCACACAATGGCATTTCAATGCAATCCCTTCTGTACAACAGAAGCCTAAATAATAGCCAGTCGTGAATATCAAATTACACGGGGACCGAAACTGCTTACACGTCCAAATCGGTCGAGTACAGCTTTGGTACATGCTTCGTGTGTAGACAAGTCCAGGACATCCATAGGCAGCACCAGGATGTCACTTTCCATCAATGAGCTATCCTCTGTGGGGTGGTTGGAGATGGGACAAGAACGGACACGTGCGTGCTCACGGACAGTCTCATTGGATATTAACATTAAAGTATTATCTACATTCCTTATGAACAACCTAATCAAAATTCGCAGTTATGAGTTACAACTTCGTATCTAGCCAAAACAACTTCATTTATATTGCTTAACCATTCTACAAATACGAATGTTCTCGCTGAACGGTTAGTCCACGCAACGCATTTTCGCCGTAATGTGGTTCTTCCATGAGGGAGCACTTTTCGCGGAACGTGCGCCGTTACAACGCGGTTTCTGAGTGGTCGACGACGAACCACTTTCTTGAGCTGCGTGGCCGAGCGGTACAACGATACACTACGCGGAATGATAAAATGATGTGTCGGCGTACCCTCAGTTATTTGTCCTGCATCTTAATGCGTGCGCGTATGTTCGGAACTCGCCAAATTTTATCGTTACATTATTTACGACAACATGGTTTGTTGCTTAATGCGTTTTTTGCTTCAATTGACACTTTTCAGGAACACATCTTCCACGTTAAACGAGGACTTACTGTAGAGTAAAAACCTCTAATCGTTAGACTAATTGGGGGAAGAGCATACACGGTTATAAGAAATGCCTAGTTTGAAAATTTACATTTTTATTACATTATATGAAATTCAAACCGAATACACTTAATTAACACTTAATAACAATTAATTAAAAGCAACTAAAGTACCGGTTAATCCGGGTCACTTGCCATCACCACAGACATGGAAGCAGAGGTTCACAGGATATAGAAGACTGCATAGGTATATTCTGACAGGCTTAAAACATTTATGTTACTTATTCTTTTAAACATGAAAGTAAACCAAATTGTGAAGAAACGAAAGATCGCACGAAAAGAACACGTGGATTAACACAGCATACAATGGAATTGGTTAACCGAATTCCATATAACGGAAAAGTACACTACGCGTGCGTGTGTGTACAGATTTAAGAATATGATTTGATGATAGTATGTTGGCAGCCAGCATGAAGATGATTAATACCTCTTTTAAAAATAAGGAGTCTAGAATGTACAGATGGAGAAACCCAAATTCTGAATATAGGAAGGATATTAACTTTATTCTAACAGACAAACGTGAGAGCAATGGGAATGTTCCTGTCCCTCAACACATTCAAAACGGGAAGACACCATAGACTTTGAGATGCAAGCTACACCTAAAATAGCCAAAGGGAGGGCAAAACTAATTGCAGGCAAAACCAAGATGGTTAAGATGTACATATTCATTATCTCATGTATATAAATCGTTCACGAAGATCACTGGGAACAGAATAACAAATTAGGGGCTGGCCAACCCACCACGGAAGCAAAGCGGGGTCAGGAAAAGTATCTTCACCATCGACCACATGCAGACTATTCCAGGTACGAACCCAGACTTAAACCATTTCCTGCACCAGGCTCACCCAGGCAGTTCTTCCGAACGCGTTGCAGCTCCGCCTCCCGACGTGCCGACAGCACCAGCTGGCAGCCACATCGCGCCAACTCCCGAGCAAGGGCCTCGCCAATTCCACCGGAGGCACCGGTCACCCACACAACGTGACCTCGCAGCTTCACAGCTGCACATACCAACACCAAATATCACACAAAAGAAACAATATCGTTTTTTTAATTGTCATATTGATTTTGTATGTGCATGGTTTTCCTTTCAACTACATTGCAAATGTGTTATATCACTCACTTACGAAGTCTCTTCAATTGCCCGACCTCTTTATCCACAGGGGCTACCGGTGATTGTTTTAACAACTTTAATTCTTCACAATGGATGCCTCATGGGGAAGGTATCCACTGCAAGGCGAGGCACGCGCGTTATAGTCCTGCTCTTCTAAGAATAAAACGCCACTTATGGGCTCTTTCGATCCATAAATGATGACAGGAATCACCGTGCAGATTTAAAATATCGCCTCTGCTCGATCACATATACAAAGCCACGCCCAATGCATGGATATATATGGTCCTGAAACATTAACATAATGCAACATAATTTAACATAATTTAATATCCATGAAATCATGGAATTCATTTTGTCCTGTTCCAGTGCCACTCGGTGGACCACGACGGCTCAACGGCTTCACTGCTTTCTTCCATTTGTGCAACAGCCACGGTTGCATCCCACAGACGGAACGCGTTCGTCAAAGAAGCATGCTACGTGTAAACTTTTCCTTCTTGACGTTTCCTCTCCCTAGAGCAGTGGTTCTTAACCTGGGGTGCACGCACCCCATAGGGGTGCGAGATGCCCTTTCTGGGGTGCGAAACATGCCACATTTTTTTGAAAAGTAAATAATCGAAACACAAATGAATCAAGGGCATGTAAGTACAACCACTTTATTTAATCAAATCTATATATTTATTAACATAATATTTTAAACGACTCGGAACTAAAGGGGTCCAAGGCTGCAGTAAATAACCCATTGTACACCGCCAGGCCTCAGAGTGGTTGCTTGTGGGGCACTCCTCCTTTGAACAATACCACCATGAAGATGAAGAAGGTGAGCTCAATGAGCTGGAAGCTCTAGAACCAGAGCCAATCCTCATTGAATACTGACAGGCCCTCTTATCCTCGCCCCCTTAGACAATGGCTGATAATGATGTGTGAGAGATTCAAATGTAAATAAAGGGTGTTTTCGCCATATTCACGAAATACGTGTTTATATGTACAGACACTATTTGTTCTAAATGTGCTAAATGTAATCCAAGCTGAATATTAAACTCATCTACAGACATGCAATACACAGAAAACTTGTTTTCTCTGTCTTTTGTATCCCCTGTATTTGAACGTATTGGTGGTACACCAGCGCACAGTATAAAAAAGCAACATTTTTTTTCCCGCAATTCGCAATCCCGGTCAGAAAATCTTGCGGGGTGGTGATGGTGCGTCAAAATCAGTTCTCGTGATGTCGAAGCAGTCGGAAGACGACTGTTATGACTCATGCCCTAGACTTGGTTGGACGGTTTCTCGATTCATTTCCGTAATCATTTCCCTGATGGATGGTGGTATCAAAAGACTGTGACTCATGGTGCCACACATTCGAATGGGAAAGCAGCTGCTGAATTTAAGGCCATTCTGATGGCGAGTCTGCAGCTCACTCAAGGGTCAACAGCACATCGTCAGTTCGGGCCCTCATCTTTAACTGGTGGGTCCACAGCAGCAGCTCAGTCAACGGCAACAGCAACGGCTCGGGCAGAGCATCAACAAAGGTTTCTACAGCGTCTGTAAGAGCTTCATCGTCGGCTGGAGAGTCGGCAGTTCGATCTACGGCAACTGCGTCTGCACGGACGCAGTTGTTTTTTATGAGGACTGGCGTGTTAAGCTGCACCGGTGTACCGCCAATACATCCATTTGCTGTCTCAAAGAGAGCTATGGAACGTGTTTGCACTCGTGTTTGTACCTGGATCAGGGCCCCTGCGCTCAGCCCACATGAGGGTCAGGTCACCATCAGCCAGCAGCAGACGAATCAACTGCACCAGCAAGAGAGCAGCAATGCCGGCCAGGAGTAGTGCACCCAGCCACTCCATCCTGGACACTGCTGCCACACACAGGAACACATGCGAACACATGTTGTCTCCGTGTCAGTAGGTAAGCAGTCAACACTGTTTACCACTCCCAGGTGCACACCCACATTCACCTTCACCCCCTCCGTGTGCTGTACAATACGATAACATCGTTCACCCGACCAAATCACCAATCACAGATTTGCCCAAAAATGGAAGTAAGCGGGCGTGGCGTCAGCCGATGGGGCTAGTCTTTGTCCATATGGACCTGTGGATCGTAACTCGAGGCTAATTGTATCGCTCACGTAATCAATATTAATATACAATGGGACATAAGAATAGCACTGTTTTGTATGCAACTCATTAAATCAATATAAAAAACAGACTTATAATACAAATAAAAAATACCATGTTAATCACAGTAATTTGCGAGTTAATCGCTGTGTCAATTCATTGCCAATAGATCCACGGATCAAGAAATGATTTGACACAAGCCCCTCGTTTCATTTGATTGGCTAAAATTAGCGAGGTCGGTGAATCTATCGCGGTCTGCTTTCGTTGTTCCCGCACAGCACTTACATTTTTGCATGGTCACGAAGACGGCCAACTTATCTCACACAGTCGCGTGCAATGGAACCATTATTTTAATGTTAAGTTTGAGATTTAATGCCACGGGACAAATTAGTGGACACATTTGGCTCGCAGGAGGGCAGTGTACAAAGGTGCGTTGAACAGAATTGCATCTGCAGCAAGGACGCACCTGTGAACCCCTTATCAGTGCCTAACTTATTACAGACCAATTCAGACCTTATTGGTCTCCACGTGACCTGAGATATCTCAACATGCGTCCTACAAAGCCCATATTGAAATGGCTGTACGCCATATGGACCTGAAAACTCAATTTCCCTGTACAAGAATACGGGTAAAACGGTATGGGTTGACAGCTGTGCAAGGACCAGGCCGGAGGTGACACAAGTTGAACACCATCAGAGGGCTCAATTTAGCTGTGACTGACAGAACGGCTGGTGATTGATGACCTCTAAATACATGAGTAAATAACTAAGTTCAAGAATCATGGATGTGGATGAATTAGTTATTAAACAAATTACTGACTGCATGGAAGTTCAATAACAATACTGTAATAATAAACATGATGTATAATGCTGTCTCTGGTGTGGACCAATCAGTTTCAAAGACAATGCATATACGACCACAGCATGTTTTTTGTTTGCATGTTCACCACAAGTACGTGTGGTTAATGCAGACAGGATTCCTTGAATAAGGATTCTGTTTGGTGTTTTAACATCTTGATACCTATTCCATTGCCAGACAGGGAAAAACCTATTGTTATAGTATTCTTTGGGTCTTTCGGTAAAGTTACGTAAATAGGTTCAAAGAAAATAACAAAAAACTACGACGTTTCGATCGCAAGTGGTTGTCATCAGGAAAAGGGGGGTTCGCTTCTAGAGGTTTGAAATGGGCATAGCCCAAATGTCAGCAGCCAATGCCAACGCAAGTGGTGGGCAGCGACCGCGGCGATGGTGTTAGGCTTTCCACCAATCAAAGGGCTGCCAGGCAAAAGATTAGCATGTCAATGTAAGATCGCCGAGCATCCTCCACGGCGAGTGCGCCAAGGTGGCTATGTTAATGTGAGAGATGAGCATGTTGATGTGAGATTAGCATGTTAATGTGAGAGATGAGCATGTTGAGGTGAGAGATGAGCATTTTAATGTGAGAGATTAGCATGTTAAAGTGAGAGATTAGCATGTTAATGTAATAGATTAGCATGTTAATGTGAGAGATGAGCATGTTAATGTGAGAGATTAGCATGTTAATGGAAGATCATGAAGCAGCAGCCTCGAGGATGGTGCGCGAGGTAGCCGTGTTAGTGAGCAAATGTATCTGTTAATGTAAAAAACCCAGAGAGCCGAAAATAACAACTAACATGAGAAGGTGGCAGGGTGGGAACATGGTTGATAACGTCCTTCTGGTTGATAACGTCCTTCCAATTATTGCTTAGTTTGCACCCATCTTCTCAGTTGAAATTGTGTCTGTGTCTGTATATATGGATGGCTTCATGAACTAATCTTTTTTGATAGCCAGTGGGTTTGCAAAGTACCTTCGTTTAAGATAAATCAATTTCGTGTGAGCCCACCGCATTAAAACAATGATCAGCCACGGCCGAGGTATTGGTCCTACCGTGTCGCCGATCTGCGTTATGTTCACAAGCACGGTCCGAGACATGTCGCTTAGTTTCCCTAATGTAACTACTGCCACAGACACAGCATAGTTTGTAGACGCCGGTGTATTGCATGTCAGGGATCACATCCTTCACAGACGGGATCAGATCACACATTTTATGTACTGTGTTAAATCGAACCTGGATCTTGTGTTTGTTCATGATTTTGAAAATATTTTTGGTGACCCCTGCTATGTATGGCAAGGTGATGGTTTTGATTGGGTCCTCAGATGGTTCTTTCCCACTGGTTGGGGTGATAGCTTTACGGATTGTGTAATCTGAATATCCATTCATCTTGAGAGCTTGGTGTACGTGTTCCAGTTCACTGGCTTGGTGATGATGGTCAGAAATACATCGCGTTCTATGGTGTAGAGTTTTGATGAGGGAATTCTTCTGGTCTGGATGGTGGTGGGAGTCAGGTTTAGATAGCCATCCGTGTGGGTGGCTTTCCTGTAGATAGTGTCCCATTGAGCCATCTGGTCTCTTTTCGATTAAAACATCCAAGAATTGTAACTTGCCATCCTTTTCCACCTCCATGGTGAATTTGATGGCTGGGTGTATGGAATTGATGTGGTTGAGGAATTGGTTCAGAGCTGGTCGGCCATGTGGCCAGATGATGAACGTGTCATCAACGTACCTCTTCCACAAGGACAGACGTAGAGTGGATGCCTGGATGGTATCTGTCTCAAACTTTTCCATGAAAACATTGGCTACAACTGGAGATAACGGAGAACCCATTGGGGTACCTTCAACTTTTTTGTAGAATGTTCCATTCCAGGTGAAGTAAGTGTTGGCTGAGGCAGTGTCTCACCAGGGCCGGTACATCAGCATTCAGTCCTTGTTGGACCAAATCTTCAATGATTGCAATGGTGTCAGGCACAGGAACTTTGGTAAACAAAGAGACTACATCGAAACTAATGAGCAAATTACCTGCAGATAGTGAGATATCCTTAATTAACGATATCAAATGAGCTAAGTACAGCTGAGGTGGTCTTACCAGTGAATGGTTGTAAGGTCTCAGACAGAAATCGGGCTAGTTTGTAGGTGGGTGAGTCAATGGTGGAGACGATAGCACGAAGGGGTGTCCCTTCTTTACGGATTTTTGGTAAGCCATACAATCTGGGTGGCCTAGCAGCAGAGGGTTTTAAGGAAAACCGCTTGTTTGGTTCAATTAAAGATGTCGAATCAGTGATATTGTTCGTGTTCGTGACGAGGCGGTTGGTCGGATCTCTTTTAATTTTGGTATAGCTGCCATCATTCTGGTAGGAACGAAGTGAACCAACCTACAATAGATTATATCGTCCGTCTGTCCGATGTCCGATTAGGTGTAGCAACATCGCCCCCTACTGCAAACACTTGGCATGACCCTACAAAAACTTTTAGACTCAGTGAGGCTTTCCTGGCTAAACAAGTGTAACATTCCCTTATAATTCCCTCAGATAGCTTTTAATTAAAACATTTAAATTAATGAGGCTTTCCTGGATAAACAAGTGTAACATTCCCTTATAATTCCCTGAGATAGCTTTCAATTAAAACTTTTAAATTAAAATTTAACTCACAGCGGCCTAAAGCCTACAGCTACGCCTAAAGCCTAGAACTAGGCCTCAAACTCTCCCTTCGTATCGTACCCCCACGTGTGTGCAAGGGAGTTAATGTTTAACAATGTTACATTCCCTGATGCTTTTAAATAGAAATATTTTAATTTAAAGCTTTTACATAAATAATAAAAACATTTAATAAAACATTAACTCACAGCGGCCTAAAGCCTACAGCTAGGCCTAAAGCCTAGAACTAGGCCTCAAATTCTCCCTTCGTATCGTACCCCCGCGTGTGTGAAAGGGAGTTAATGTTTAACAATGTTACATTTCCTCATGTTTTTAAATAGAAACATTTACATTTAAAGCTTTTACATAAATAATTAAAACATTCAAATTAAAAATTAACTCACAGCGGCCTAAAGCCTACAGCTAGGCCTAAAGCCTAGAACTAGGCCTCAAACTCTCCCTTCGTATCGTCCGATTAGGTGTAGCAACATCGCCCCCTACTGCAAACACTTGGCAGGACCCTACAAAAACCTTTAGACTCAGTGGGGCTTTCCTGGCTAAACAAGTGTAATAATACATTATGTTTATATTCTTTGGTTATTCGTTCCTACCAGCCCACCCCGCAGGGTCCTGTTTAAGTAGGTCCTGAATTTTGTTATTGTATGTGGTTTTGTCCATGATGACTCTGGCATTGCCCTTGTCGGCTGAGAGGATGACGATGTGATTTCTCTTTTTTGAGAAATCTCAAAGCGCTCATCCTTACTGATGTTTGTAATAGGTATCTTAGAGTTTTTGAAGATTGCAGTGATTTCCGATCTTGCCACGTCTGCAGTAATGTGTCCCAAACCCCTAAGGGCTACGTCCACCTGGGCAATGATATCATCAACTGGGATGTGTTTAGGGGTGACTGCGAAATTCAACCCTTTGGCTAGAACCGATTTTAGGCTGTCGGAAATTGGACTGTTACTCTGATTGATAACAATCTTGTCAACATACTCTTTGGTTATTTCTGTAAAGTCGCGTAGGTAGAAATAAAAGAAAACAAATCACGTTTCGATCGCAACACAAGCGAACTTCATCAGGTGGGACAACCACAGCAATGAAATGCTGAAGTCGGCGGGAGAGCTGCCGTGGCAAGAGGTTATATTGGTAAGAGAGGGGGGAGGAGGCAAGGGGGGAGAGAGAGAGGGGTGGGGTAGGGGGGGCGCGTGATGGATCTGGCTTCTTCTTGGAAAGGAGGTTGAACTTGGAAATCAGGTTATCTTTGCATTTAGTTGACATTGAGGCAGCTGAAGAGGCTGTCATGTTATCTACATGTTCCCAATTGTTATAGTGATCACTCAGTTTGAACAGTGTTGTGTTAACAGTGTTCACTCAGTGTTAGGTGTCCACTCAGTGTTAGGTTTTAACACAGTATTCACTCACTGTTAGGTTTTAACACAGTATTCACTCACTGTTAAGTGTCCACTCAGTGTCAAACGAATGACCACAGAATGCTCACTGACGGAGTTGAGCCCTAAGGGAAAATATCTCATTACGAACTTTCGCAGAACACTGTGCAACTATTAAATAACGCACCCAAGTCTCGTCTCTGCATTGAAGATACAATACACCCTTCTCAACGGCGCGTCCCTTACCTGACACCCATTACTCTCCCTCCTCCTCCTCCTGGCTCGCTCGCTCAACTTCTCCCGTCTTGCTCCCTTGCTTAGCCTCTAGAGCTCTTTCCTACACGAAAAGGCCTCCATAGAGAACAAATAACATCCACACCTCTTCTCCCTCCCCGTCAGCCAGAACTCGGGCAGCATTTTATCGAAGCAGGCAAATCCCCGCGACTCTTTATTTGGTTCAGAATCTGAACTTGCTGAAGGAATCTGGAGGAATCCGACGAGCTATAAAGAGGACATTGAGTATATGCTTGGTTCTTTCGGTAAAGTCACGTAGAAGGGAAATAATAAAAATAAACAATATTGCCTGCTTCGATAAAATGCTGCCAGTTTTGGCTGACGGGGAGGGAGAAGAGGTGTGGATGTTATTTTGTTCTCTATCGAGGCATTTTCGTGAATACAATCGAATGACCGCCCCAATAAAGTTGATCCGGGTGGGGGGAAAGTACACACGCAATAAAACAATGTTGTTTTATTTGTATTATTTCCCTTCTACGTGACTTTACCGAAAGAACCAAGAATATGAATCCCTGCAGTCACGAAAGCTTTAAATCTAAATTTAGGGCATTGAGTGTTGCCCCCCAGGCTCCATAACAAAGGCGACAGAGTTTGTTGGGCAAAGTCCGACTGCTGATGAAGACCCGCAAGGTCAAAGACGTCGTCCAAAGTTTGCCTGCCGCCACCCGCCTCCAAATTTGCGGTGCGGCCATGAACGGCGCTTAGTACCAGGCTAGGTGTACCTTGATGCCAAAGTGCGTGCAAGTGTCGAAGGGCTCTGGCTGCTGGCTGATCACGGGGCAGCCCCCCCAGGCGCCATGGGTTGGCGGAGATGGCAGATGCGCCACCTGTGCCGCCCCCGCCCCTGCGCTTTATGCGCCCGGCGCTCTGCTCGTTGTTGTGAGCGTCGCGCTGCTGCCCTCCGTTGTTGCTGGATGGCGACTGCTTCCCAACTGGCCCAGTCGCCTCCGAGCGCACCTAGCCTGGCACCTCCCAGTAGCCTAAAACTACCTAGCCTGGAACCGCCCAAATAGCCTCAGAGTGCACCTCGCTTCGCACCGCACGGCAGCCCCAGAGTGCACCTAGCCGGGCACCACCCAGTCGCGGCCTTCACGATCCTCCTCCTCCACGCGGCCTCCAGCAGCAGCAGCAGCCTCCGGATTTACTGCGTGACGAGTAGCGGCCCGGGCTGGGAGCGACTAGATGCGGGTCTGGTGCCTCCACTGCTCAGGGAGACGGGGGGCCCAGACAGCAGAGGAGGAGTCTCTATCGTTTGCATCATGGGACCTCCCTTGCCAGCATCAAAATGCAGGATGCTTCACAATTTGTTTTAACAATTATACGGAAGATTTGGTCCAACAAGGACTGAATGCTGATGTACCGGCCCTGGCGAGACACCACCTCACCAACACTTACTTCACCTGGAATGGGACATTCTACAAACAATCTTGATTTTAATCTTGATTTGAAGCTTTCGTGACTGCAGGAATCCATACTCTTTGGTTCTTTCGGTAAAGTCACGTAGGTATAAAATAAAATACAAACAAGTTGAAGGTACCCCAATGGGTTCTCCCTTATCTCCAGTGGTAGCCAATGTTTTCATGGAAAAGTTTGAGACAGATGCCATCCAGGCATCCACTCTACGTCCGTCCTTGTGGAAGAGGTACATTGATGACACGTTCGTCATCTGGCCACATGGCCGACCAGCTCTGAACCAATTCCTCAACCACATCAATTCCATACACCCAGCCATCAAATTCACCATGGAGGTGGAAAAGGATGGCAAGTTACAATTCTTGGATGTTTTAATCGAAAAGAGACCAGATGGCTCATTGGGACACTGTCTACAGGAAAGCCACCCACACGGATGCCTATCTAAAACCTGACTCCCACCACCATCCAGACCAGAAGAATTCTCTCATCAAATCTCTACACCACAGGGCTCGTTGCTTTTCTGACCATCACCACCTAGCCAATGAACTGGATCACGTACACCAAGCCCTCAAGATGAATGAATATTCGGATTGCACAATCCGTAAAGCTGTCACCCCAACCGTTGGAAGAGAACCACTTGAGGCCCCAATCAAAACCATCACCTTGCCATACATAGCAGGGGTCACCAAAACATTTCCAAAATCATGAGCAAACACAAGATTCAGGTTCGATTCAACACAGTACATAAAATTCGTGATCTGATCTCATCTCTGAAGGATGTGATCCCTGACATGCAATACCCCGGTGTCTACAAACTAAGTTGTACCTGCCGCAGTAGTTACATTGGAGAAACCAAGCGACATGTCTCAGACCGTGTTCGTGAACACAAGGTGGATCTGAAACACGGTAGGATTAACCAGATACAGTCATAACTTGCTGTGATGCTTCCATCCTACATGCCGATATTTACAGTCATTTCCGACTCTCTGAGTTGTTAAATATCTTTACATTAACAGGCTAAATGTCTCACTAACATAGCCGCTGCTTCCCTTTTCCTCGATGTGGTGGTGGCTCTTATTGTTTACTATAGGCTGAATGTGTCTCATTAACACAGTCGCTGCTGCGGGAGCCGTCTCACATCGACATGCTAATCTCTCATCTCGAGCAATACAATGGCTTCTTCAGCACCGTAGTCGTGGAGTTACATTAACAGATTGACATGCTAATCTCTAATCTCACCGTAGGCGTGGGGTTACATTAACAGATTGACATGCTAATCTCTAGCAATACAATGGCCGAAGTATTTTACGTGTAAATTCCATCTCTAGCCCCGCCCACTTACCCTTGGGTTGTACCCATCTCGAATCTATATAACCTCTTGCTGCAGGAGTTCTCTCGCTATAGTTATCCTGCCTCAGCAGTTCGCCTGCTGTATTTTTTCACCTGAAGACGATTGCTTGTGTTGCGATTGAAACGCGGTGATTTTTATTTATTTTTCTATCTACGTGACTTTAACGAAAGACCCAAAGAGTACTTATACGGGACTATCGTTTCTAATGGGAAAAGAACGGATAATAACACTAACATGGTAACAAATGTATGTGCATAGCTTCAAAGAGTCTCCACTTGTTCGCCTTCATTGTCAACACATACCTGGAATTTTCTCCAGGTGGTTTCCAGAGCCCGGACGTACATTTATTGTGGTATTGTTGCAATTCTAGAAGTGTTAACATTTTTTGAAGCACCCTGTGTAAGAATAGGTTTTACTCTTTCTGGCAATAAAATACGTCTTTAGATGTTAAAACACCAAACAGAAACATTTTGCAAGGAATCATGCCTGCATTAACCACATATACGTGTGGTGAACATGCAAACAAAACACACACGCTCTGGTAGGATATGGATTTCTTTGAAACTCATTGGTCCACACCAGAGACAGCTTTCTTTAGAACCTAGTCTCAAATAGTGTTAGACCAGAGGACGCCTAAAGGCGAACAGCACAAAGACAATGCCACTATCAGGACATTGAGAGCTCGGGATGAGCAGCTACATCATGGGACTTCCATGATGTAGCTGCATATCCTACCAGAGCATGTTTTTTGTTGCATGTTTAACATCTTAACACGTGTTCTATTGCCAGAAAGGGTTAAACCTATTCTTATATTGTTTGTATGTTGAACTTTTTTCGCACCGTACATAGCCAACCGTGCTAATCGGAGGTGCGGGGGAAGGACAATAAACTAAATACACAAACACTGTTCCAAAGAAATGAGTTTTAAATCCGGATTTAAAAGTGCATAGCTCCAGTGACTTCCTAATATCGGAAGGGAGAGCGTTCCAGACGGTCACAGAAGCGAATCTGAAGGCGAGCGTTATTCTTCCATTATCGCGCAAGGTGGCAGCAGCAACACGCCGAGAAGCTCGATGACAGTCGACTGCTTGCCACGAGGAGAGGGCTTCCTGCAGCAGGCAGAGTTCGTGTCGTCTTGCTATTCCTCCTCAGATGACAGTGGTTGACTCTATTGTCCATAGTTTTGGTTGCATGGCCACAATCGCACGACTGTGGCTCGTCTTTTATGTATTTTTGAGTCTCCATCTGTGTACAGTATGGGCACTATGTATCTGTGGCGAGATGTTAACTACTTCGTCTGGTATGCAGGAGGTCGTGGGTTCTATCCCGACCCTGACGCCTGCATATTTTGAGTTTGCATGTTCTCCCTGTGGTCACGTGTATTTGTTTCCAGCTTTCCCCCCGATATTAATAATCAACATGCATTTAGAGTATATGGCTGCTATAAATTTCCACAAGCCACTTCGTTGAGCTATTATTTTTGTGGCCAGGTCGCTTCTGAAAGAGCTATATAGCTCAATGGGGCTTACTTGGTAAAATAAAAAGTTTAGTCGCATAGTTTAGTATCTCAATAGATCTCTTATTTGTATGTGTCCATGTTTTTCTTGTTGCCCATCCCTCCAGACAAGACGCACAGGTTATGCAAACAACATACCAGGGTGTTAGATGAGATGAGGAATGCAGATAAGAGCTACTAAGGCTGCTGTGAGATGAAAGATGAGATGTAGACTAAGGTTAAAAATAGAGATACGAAAGAAGACAAGGGACCCACAAGATACATTTATTGTTTATTACGCTGGTTTACCCAAACATGCCTGCGTCTCATAACTCATGTTCAAGTGTGTTTGCCAGTACGGGGGAGATGATTGCGATGTATATTCCAGTGGACTAATTTTCTGGTGATATTTCAAATTTAGCAAATTTGGACCATGACGCCGGCACACAATGGGCCTACTCTTGCAGCCTTTGACATATTTCACTTGTATGTACACTGTCAAAGCACAACAAATTAATAACAGTTCACGGCTCTTCTGAAGCGAAATTGTTTGACATGTCTGCCAATTAGTGAAAAATTGGGTGGCCCCGTCTGTTAGGTCTTTTCATATTACCTTAAACACACCTCTAATTAGCGGCGGTTGGCTACGCACGGTGCGAAAGAAGTTCAACACACGTACATACAAACACAACGAATACCATCTAAGCGAAATGGGCGTCATTAATTTGAATCCAGATATGATCAAGAGGCCAAGAAACCAATCGGACGAGTTCTTTGAGTGTACCAACAAAACACTGCCACACAGTAATCCACTGTAGCCTGCACTCATTCAGTGGAGGAGCTGCAAAACGACACGAACTCTCTCCTGAGGCCCTCTCGTCGTGACTAGCAAACCTCATCATTGGCATCTAGCTCGTGAACATATTGCTGCCATATGCAATAAGTGAAGATCTAGAAGAATAGCAGGGTCATGCCCCATTCACTGTATGTGTTACGTGTCAATGTGGCTTCAAGGTTAATGTTGCGGCCGTTGCTGCCGGGCTGTTCATCACTCGAAACGGGGGCCCGTGTCCCGGAATAATGACATCGGCCAATGATGCAACTTTTGACCGACTGATCTGCATATACACACACATTCACGCACAGCAAACAGGTACTTGAAGTTTGCAATATAGGATCACACCATAGCCAATTTCCCAAAATACAAAGTCTGTATACGCAGGCAATGTTGTTTAGAGTTTGGCGGTGCTGGAACAATTGGAGAAAATGGGGGAGAGACAGTAACAACTTTAATTTCAATAATAAGGTTGTTTTTACATTTTCAATGAGTTTATATTAATATTTGATTGGCAACTTTTATTGTTTGAGATAAACAATTAATATGGATAAAAATTAAAAAAATTGTCATTCCTGATCAGTTCAAATGTTAAGAGCTTGATCGACAGTGTGTATGCATTGATAGTGTGTGTACGTTTATATACATTTTTATCGGATACAAATTAGATCAGCACCATTCCGTTAGTGAGCCATTTCTGTGAATACATTTAGTAACTATCTCTGCTAAATCAGTTTCAGCTGCTATGATGACAGTCATAGCTATTCCATCTTCATAATTATTCCACATTTCATACTGTGAAGGTTAGTGGCTTTTTATTGTTGTTCTGCCTCTGTCAATGAATGAGCTCTCACACACCATCATCATCAGCAGCAGGGGTTTCAGATGTTATTCATAAGAACACTTTGACCGTGAAGCTCTAGTCAAGACAAACATTAATAGAGTACCATTAAGCACTGCTGAGTAGCTTCATGGGCAATTACGTAAATATTTTTTAGCAAATGCACTTTTGTTTAGTCTAACAGCCAATGGGATCTCTCATGGAAATGGTGCTGCAGAATGTTGATGTACAGATAGTTAATGTACAGATGTACAGATATTGTTAATGTACAGATATTGTTAATGTACAGATATTGTTAATGTACAGATATTGTTAATGTACAGATATTGTTAATGTACAGATATTGAACAAAAGTTCAAGTGCATCCTTACCCCCAATGCAAGTAGTTAGTACAGTATTATAAACATAATTATACAATTGACATGTTTTAAGTTGTATTTAATGAAAGGGTTACCTGCTGTGTGACAGGATCATGGCTGTGCTCCTTCCAGTCGTCGTCATCGTCACTCCGCTCAAACACGTCTCCGGCCACCACGACAGTGCCAACGCTTGTGTCGCGAACAACGACACTCACGTCCGAACACGTATGGCCTGGCGTGGGTATCACCTGCGTAGACGCACATTTGCATGCACGGATGAAATCTCCGCATCTAAACATAAGTTGACTATTTTTCATAGAACACAATTCGAGACTATAGCAAAGCCACAGTAGGTTCTGCCACAAAAAGTCTTGCTACCATCGTCCGTAGCCTATCACCATGCTCTTGCTGCAGCTCGTCTGATAGTTAGGAAACAGAAATATGATCCGATCACGAGTCTGATATGTGAACTGTACTGGCCACCTATTAAATACAGGATTGTGTACAAATTATGCCTACTCGTCTTCAAGAGTCTCCATCAACCTGCTACGTCCTATCTCGCCGATCAGTGCGCACCAGCTTCAACAGACCCAAATGGACTCTGGCTACGATCTGCGGCTCGCGGCGACCTGCTGCTGTTCCCACGTGTAAACCTCGTGCGCGATACGCCCAGCACAGTTTCGGATTCTTCGGCCCAAAGACCTGGAACATGCTCCCAGCTCACATGTGGGATCCATCCCTGAGTCTGAGCCAGTTCTGCAAGACTCTAAACGCTGCTGCTGTTTTTGTTTCAGAGAGCCGACTTCAATGTGCGATCAATGCTCACTCGTGATGGACTGGACTCATAAGTGTGCAATAACAAATGTTCTTACTTATTTACTTTATGATAAATCACTACTGTACATGCAATGTACCTTGCACAATGAAGCAAAGTGCCCCTATCCATTAGATGGAATTCCTACTCAATGTTGAAACATTATTTTGTCAGGATTTAGTGGAAAAATGCCTACGAGGTTAAACTATGAAACCATTTTGCACTTAACTTTGTTCCATTTTTTCTAAGCAATATCCCATGTTAAACGCTGCAGCTTAATTGCTTCTGTTGTGTAACACACTTGCACGCTTTTAACCCATTACAGCAGTGCTTCTTAACCTCTTTGGGTTGGCAGCCCAGTCAACAACACTGGCCCCTGCGCCACCCACTCGCCCGAGCCCCAAAAACACAAACAAGTTAATAAAGGCACTCGACACACAGAGAGACCACACGCCTGTAGACAATGCTGAGAGGGCAGCATTCCCTCGTTATTCACCAACTTGCTATCCGCAATTTTGGCTCTCCGTAAATCACATCTGGAACTCGGCACGACTCCATAGATGGAGAAACAAAGTGGTGAGAGAGAACGTGATGGGAGTAAGTGATGAGAAAGCTTATTTATGTACTTATGGTAATTCATTAGTATCATTATCTGCGAAATGTGCTATTCACGAGCATTTCCGGAACGTATTCCTCGCTAATAATGAGGGAATACTGCATGCAATCTGTTTCAAGTTGCAATGTAAAACATTACCAGAAGACACAGACAAGTTGAAGAGCAGTAAAAGATGACAAAGTGTACCTGTACTGCTTAATAGACCAGGTTGAATATGCGTGTTTTGCAGCAGCAACGTGGCGTTGACATTTAAAACACATTTTCAAAATGTCCCCTGCACAATATCCATGCCATAGCATGCGATTCACACCCGAGAGGCTTTTTGTGCCTGTTGGGTTGGGAACCGCTGCCTTGCAATCGCAGCCAATCAGGTAAAACGCATTTAACATATCAGTCACAGGCCCAACGAGATAAACTTTCTTTTTAAACGGGAGACGTGAAGTAAAATACACAAGAGGTAAAAAGAAAGTTTAAATAACAAATCTTTGCACAAAACACAAACAGGTTATAAAACGTACATAGGTACCTGCACATACGGATTTATCACGTACGCCTTTCCCTCGGCAAGCCCATGTGTTTCATAGAGGTCTCCCTGGGACACATCAAACCCCATGATGATCCGCGCATGAGGGAACAACCCCACGTTTCCCGCGTGGTCCGAGTGCCCGTGCGTGCACACCACCGTGTGCACCAGCCGCAGGACATCGCTCGGCGCCAAACTCTGCTGCACACAGCCCTGCACCGTCCGCTGCAAGGAGGTGATGAGTTCCTCTTTGGCCCACGGTCCTCCGGTGTCCACCAGGATGGCACAAGGTCTATTAAACATACCACAGTTACACTTACACTCCTCTGTAGTAAAACACCAAAAACTCACACGCACAGCTTGAGTGCCGCGTAGACCCGAGGAGCTCTAATGGATAGAGGCGCCCATACCAGTCAGGTACTCGGCGAGGGGCGAGACAAAAATGTGTTCCCTTCCCCAACTCGCGCTCAAACCCCATGACTGACGCAACTAAACGTTGGTCTCCAGTTCCCAGTAGCTCGGGATCAACCTGTCACGGTGTCCTCTGGGAGGGTAAAGAAGAAGGGGCTGCAAATAATCACAGGGTACAATAAAGAGGGCAGCAGGGTGGCATGGTGGTAACACTTGTACCTCACATCTAGAAGGACATGGGTTCGATTACTGACTCGGGCAAATTTCTGTGTGGAGTTTGTATGTTCTCCCCCAATTCTGCATTGGCTGCCTCTGCATGTGTGTATGTCTCTTGGTGTGGTGTTGCTCTGGTTGTCCCTCTGGGCTGCCCAAAATATCTTTCCCTGTGTCTTCTCTGTATATGTACCTCGTGTCTGTTCATGAGTCCTTGTCCTCTGTTTTCCGTTGGCATGTTCAGCCCAGATGATGAACACGAGAGATTTATCAGTCTTTTGAAATACGTAGTCAACCAGGTTAGTGTCTGTTTTGTTGGCCGACTGGTTTGCATCACATTATGTTTCTAAGGTCTGTTGAGTTTCTCGTCTCCCATCTTCTTGTTGCATTTGCTTACGTGCAGTTTGCCGTTCGCCATGTGCTATGTACGTGGTGTCGCCCTGTGTGTTCCCTCGCTAAATGTTTCACCCCATTTCCACCTGATGATGAGCGCTTGTGCTGCGTTCAAAACGTCGTGATTTATTTTATTTTACTTATTTAAATTGTATTTCTACATACGTGACTTTACCAAAAAAAGTATAATTCGTCTAGGTTCTCCAGTTTCCTATCATAGCTAGGAAAAATACAATGGTACTGGTGTTGGTCAAACAACCCAATGCAGGATCATCCCTAAAATGAGTATTTGGCTTTCCTGGGTGAATAAGTATTGTACTACATATATATTTTGGGCGATTTATCTGGATCGACCATTGCTACGTACAAAACGCGGACTCTGTCTAGCGATGGGAAACCTTTTCGAATTGGAGACAGGAAGGAGCTGAATGAACCCACCTTTCTGCTTCTCCCGGCACACTCAACAGGAGAGTCACAGTCCCATCTGCGTGAGTGTGATTGTCACTGTCCTTGTAGCAATATCCCTCCCGCAGCACATGCACAGAGTATGGAACACCTACACATACACATAACAAAACACTGCCTTGGCAACCAGCATATTGCGGTGGGTGTAAGTGGGTGTATATGTTTGGGGAGCAGTAGTGTAGCGGTTAGCGCACTGCACTACGGACCTGGTGCCCCAAGTTCAATTCCCGCTCACGGCCAACACCAATGACGATTATTTGAACCAGATTCCGCCTCAAATGAGTACCTGGAGCGGTGTGTAAACATCACCACTGGAGTGACCAAGGTGGCGGGGCGTGGTGTTGGCCACCCACCTCCTCGTGCCATGCCAGCCTTCAGAGGTGCTCGCAAACAGCACTTGTGCCTAGTCTGTTAATGCTATATGGGGATATTTGTCTTTAAGTGGGGCAGTGGTGTAGTTATTTGCCGCAGTTTTGAGGGTTAAGGAAGCCATGCATAACAGTGGAAGAGCATATAAATCCACAGACATGCGCCCAAGTTACCAACCACGATGTCACCCCAAATGTGAAATAATTAAGACTGCAAAAAAACAATACATTTCTTAGCACTTCGAATTGTTTGACACTCCTTACTAGGAGCACATTTCCTCGCAATAGGCATCTTTTTAATACCTTGTGAGTCCAGTAAAAATATATATATTTACAAACCAGGTATTGTTGAAAGGTTATCCGTTTTGCTTAGTTCTGCCATACCTGTTGAAGAAAGGGCAGTCTTATTCCAACAATAGCAATGGAAAACAAAGCAAATGCAGTCAGTATACAAGCTACACAAACAACCATGCTGATCCAGACATTGTATCCACTTCACTTTACCTGCAGCCATTTTATCCATGGAAAAATTTGCCTGAGATTCTCACTTTTGGTGTAAATTCTTCCTGTTAACCACAATATATGAAATGAAGTATTGTATTTTTTTACAATTAGCCCATGTACAAGTACTATGTTACCAGTAAGGTGGGGATTTCACACAATGCGTGCAAATCGCTCCAGCTGGCACAACATTCGTTGGTCGAGGTTTAGTGAAGTTTGTGAAGCCAACTTCCATTTCTGTGGCACTGTTTCAGCGCCTCCATCATTTTAAGAACTCATGTCTTGAAAACGTATTTTTGTGTTTAGTTTGCTGTCCCCCCGCACCTCCAAATTAGCACGATGGGAAAGGCGTTCAACATACATACAACATCAAATTGCACAGGATTAGCCTTTTCTGGGCAACCCGCCATCTTCCCATCAACTTTCATTGTCAATTCATATTTTTTCCTGCCTCAGTAGCTCTTCCGCTATATTTTTTTCACCTGATGACGATTGCTTGTGTTGCGATCGAAACGTCGTGATATTTTTTTTTATTTTTCTATCTACGTGGCTTTTCATTGTCAATCTTTCTCTCCAGGTCACGCGACCTCAACCTCGTTTACCACCTTGCTTGACCCTGCCGCTGGAACCCAGAGGAATCCAGAGTGTGACTTGATTCGACTGGGGGGGGCTTGAGGCGTTCACCGTCGAGCGTCAACCTTCACCAGTGCCGCAGTCTCTCTGCTGGGAATTGCAAATTACAAATCGAGTACTGTAGTGTACTTTGCCTGGACCTATAGTCCGCAAAGTGTTGGAGTTTAGCAAAAAATACTGCGACGATACATATTGAGACCAGAAATTTCATATTCTTGGTTCTGTCGGTAAAGTCACGTAGAAGGGAAGAAATAAAAAGAAAAAAGAACATTCTCACGACGTTTTTATTATTTTATTATTTCCCTTCTACGTGACTTTATCGAAAGAACCAAGAATATGAATCCCTGCAGTCACGAAAGCTTTAAATCGAAACAGAAATTTAATGTCAAGTATTTATTGAGTTTAAAGAAAGTGAGTCATTTTGTTAAGTTCATGGTCAACAGGCAAAGCCTTGGACTGGACTGCTCGTGGTGTCTGGTTGCTGGCTGGGACGAATTTGTCTGCAATGTTCGGTTGCTCTGGAGAAACTAACCCATAAACTGTTTTAATTTTACCAGATAAGGCCCACTGAACTATACAGTATAGCTCTTTTTCAGAAGCGACCTGGCCACAAATGATAGCAGTCAAATACTCTGAGCGTGTTGTTTCTAGATGTGTAGGGAAAAAACCGGAGGAACCGGAGAAAAATCCACGCGACCACGGGGAGAGACACACTTCTAATACACAGCAGGCGTCGGGGTAGAACCCACGACCTGCTGTATACCAGACGAGGTAGTTAACATCTCCTAGCCGCCGCGATGCTCCGGCGGCTTTGACTTGTGTTATCAATCATCCCTGGACTCTCGTGGCGGACACTTCCCACCGACTCTCACAGTCATCAGACTCCTTGAGTAAAACTTCCACGGTTTACTCGGCAAAGTGTCTTGGCCAGAGTCGGGGTTGCCAGGATATTCCTTGTCCGGCCTGGCCATGTGGTTGGTAGCGCAACCTTCTTTATTGCATCCGCCTAATGATCCACAACTCGGGCAGGACGGAAGGGTATTGGTGAACACATACACACACACAAGGGTTGAATACACACACACACACAAGGGTTGAACACACACACACACACAAGGGTTGAACACACACACGGGGTCTTATCCTCCACGTGGAGGCCCGGACTGCCCGGCCCCGGGACGTGAATGGATGTCGCCCACGGCGGCAAGATGCGACTCCAACTGGATGCGCTGCGCGGTGCCCCGAACGAGGCGGGTGGCGTGGCGGCTCTTTAAATGTGGAGGGACGTTTCTGTTTTACCGAATTCCAATACAAAAATGTCTCTTCTTGTTATTTTGGTTTCCAACCCCTGTCACAGTCGATCCATATCAACAGCCAAACTAAGGAAGGTGTCAAGGGACTCCTCTGGTTGTCGCCTGATGAGGCTGGTCGTAATTACCGGCGAAACGTCGAATTGTAAATGTTGTGGGGTTTACTCTCCAACACACCGGTTAGTGCTGAACTAGTCATGCATTGCCATGTTTTGTTTACGTGATAAACCTTACGAATTGGCTGTATCGGGTGGTGGCGGGTTTAATGACACGATCTGACGTGTAAAATACCCTCTATTATGAATCCTGTAGTCTCATTTACATTTGGGGAACTTACTTTAAGCAAAACATTCCAATGGTTTAGAAGACAGTGGAACAAGTCAACACAGACGCAACACCCCCAACTGACAATCCTTGACGAGAGCTTGAGGGACAGAAGGGCAAGCGAGTTCAAGACCTTCTGCAAAGTTCAAGTCCATGCCTCATCCTCCACCAGGAATCCTTGCAAGTGATCAGAGGCATGTTCAGCAGCGGCGTAGTAACGACATATCAGCTCAGCTGGTGCGGCAATCCGTAATGTGGGGCCCCAATAATTGATTTGTATCGCAGGATCGCACCTAGAGGCTATTATATATCGCGACTCCTCTTGTCCAATCACGTCATAACGCTCATGGTCTCGAATATTTAATGCTGTAGGGGCACTCCGTGTTCGCAAAACGCAGCCACTACAGCTCCGTAGTACCTCTTTGCAAAATTACGCTTCTGCTAAATCTTGACTTAAAGCTTTCGTGACTGCATGAATTCATATTCTTGGGTCTTTCGGTAAAGTCACGTAGATAGGTTCAAAGAAAATAAAAATTAAAAACTACGACGTTTCGATCGCAACACAAGCAATCATCATCAGGAGAAACGTCAAAGTTTTTTGCTATTTTTGTTATTTTCTTTGAACCTATCTACGTGACTTTATCGAAAGATAAAAAATGAAATAAAAATAAATAAAAATAAAGATAAAATAATAAACTGACAACGTTTTGGAGGCAACACAAGTCTCCGCCATCAGGTGGGGCCGTCACAGCCAGATTTGCTGCATCAAGTGAGGCAGGGATTCCAAGATGCAAGCTCTTAAATACAAGTTAAGGGGGAGGAGAGGGGGGGGGAGCTTATCAGAATGTGGTAGCCAATGAATTATGTCTGTGTTTGTATATCTGAATGGCTTCGTGTACAAACCTTTGAGAGCACCTTCCGAGACCAAGGTGCTCTGCAAACCCTCTGGCTACCATCAAAGGTTTGTACACGAAGTCATTCAGATATACAAACACAGACATAATTTCAACCGTGATGATGGGTACAAACTTAGTAATCATTGGAAAGATGTTATTAACCATGCAAAAAAGATTTAACTACTCATTTTTGGACCATCTTATCTGACAGGCACTAGCCAACACTGGTATAAACATGGGCATTTTTGTTCTCTTCTATCATGTGCACCAACAGGTGCTTGTGCACAGGCATATCCACGTACACATGCACCCCGTGCTCTCTTTTAGCCCCCCCCCCCCTTCCAATACGTTATCATGTGCACCAACAGGGACTTGCGCACAAACACGTCGACGCCTACGAGCACCTCGTGCTCTCTTTTAGCCCCGCCCCCTCCCGATACGTTCCATTCATTGGCTACCACATTCTGATAAGCTCTCCCCCCTCTCCTCCCCCTTAACTTGTATTTAAGAGTTTGCATCTTGGAATCCCTGCCTCACTTGATGCAGCAAATCTGGCTGTGACGGTCCCACCTGATGACAGAGACTTGTGTTGCCTCCGAAACGTCGTGATTTTATTATTTTATTTTTATTTCATTTTTTGCCGACGTGACTTTACCGAAAGAACTAAGAGTATGAATCCTTGCAGTCACGAAAGCTTCAAATCTAGAATTTATCGAAAGACCCAATAATATACGTTACCACTCTAAATTAAAATAAAACGTGGAACGTAAATGAAAGCATCGTAACAAAAGTTAATTTAAACCGTGTTTTTAAATTCGTGTTGTTGTTTTACACTTGAAAATGTATCTCAGGGTGGTTGTCAAGGGGCACCCCAACTCGTAGCTCTGACCACCAGGGGGAGCCAAGGCACCCCCTGCCCCCACTGTCGTTCCCCTGATTTTCAGCAAATGTTTCTGTCTAAATAACCGAGTTGTGCCTCAGAACGCACGCACGCAGCCTCGGGGAGAGTGATCGTGTAGCGCACACCAGTTGACTTCAGTGTTCCGTCACCTGGCATGCGGTATGTGGTGCCACGACCGCGGAGAAACTCCGCAAGCGCCGCGATTGTCCACTACCCCCCACCCTGAGCACACGCAGCACACACGCAGCACTGTCACCCACGTAGTAGTGTCCTGGCGGGGGATTGCCTGGCACATCCGGTTTTAATCCAAAGGGCCCCTAGAGGGAAAGTCCCATGGTTTCCCGGTGCCAGGAGATTGGCCGACCCTCGCAGGACAGGTTACATTGCGATGCCCTAAAATTGTTTTGAAATTGTATGGGCGCAAAAAGAAAAGGTTCCCTGGGCCAACCACAATGAGTTACTCGCTGCACTCGGGGGGAGGATGGAGGGCAGAACATTGAGCAAGAAGGGCGCAAGCACCCTTCCAGACAATGGACAACGAGGGACAATGGGTGGCCGCCGCCACGCAGCACTCGAGGGAGGACACGGTAACAGGGGGGGGCGGTAACCGCAGGTAAGCGCACGATGGGTCGCGCGGAACAATGGCACCCCGGGTATTTGAAGTTAAGGGAATTAAAAGAGTAGCCCGGGATGATTTTTGGTCTTTTGTCTTCAACCTCCGGTATGCCGCATTAGTGCGAGTGACGGTGTGCCCAGGGGAGCGAGTGCAAGGCTGCAGCGTCGGTGTGGTGTTGGCAATTGGAGTGTGTGTGTGAGACGCGCGTCGTACGACCGTGCTGCACGAATATTAGGGCGGGGGAGGGGGGAGTTGCGTGTTCGCGCAACAACAACAAAAGCATTCACGGCGAGGCGCGCGTGCACGCAGCTGCCTTTGTATTCGTGGTGGTGTCCGTGGGGGGCGTGTGCGGAGTAACCCCGTGCGGCAGTGAGCCAGCCACTTCGCCATGTCCCTCAGAGGAGGCGCTAACGCGGGGGTGCCGATCACCCGGTCGGCGGAGGCCCGGCAGGGGCTGAACGGTGTGGTGGAGGAAGAAGTAGAGGAGGAAGTGGAGGGGGCAAACGTTGTGCTCCACCTGCCCGGCGAGGGCGGTGGGATGGAAGTGGGCCCCACAGGTACAAGCCCACGGCTGTTGGGCGAATCAGCGTTTTGTCCACCATGACTCCTCGATCGTGATCATTGTAATTGAGGTTCATATGGTTCGTGCAGCATTGACAAATGGTTAAGGTCATAAGATATAATCTATGTTGAAAAATAAGAATTATCAGTGACAATGAGAGTCGCAATACTGCAGTGCTACAAAACTAACGATATGGATGTGAAATCTGTGAGTATGGGTCTGTATGTCAATCTATTGGTCATTTGAGTCTCTGGTTCTCTGTGTCAGTCTATGGGTTTCTATATTATTCTATGGGTCTCTATGAAGCTGGACAATTGTAAAGACACAACACAGCAGATATTATTGGGTCTTTTAGTAAAGTCACGTAGATAGGTTCAAAAAAATAACAAAAAACTACGACGTTTTGATCATCAGGAGAAAAAAGATAACTACAAAGCAGAATTTTTGCAACAGAAATATGTTTTTAAGAAGGATGTTAAACATGCCACTGACAAACGAGATGAGTAACTCGTATTACGGATAGCAGTCGAGTACACAACAATGCAATTAATGAGAATACAGTAATTAGACTATTATTAGAGGAAGGCAAATGTACACATCTTGGACATGTAATGAGAATACAAGTGGCTGAATATATATGTGGTTTTAACTGGGGAAATTAGAGGCACTACAAGAGGTCGGGGAAGACAGCAAATTCATTTACATGAGCAATTTGCTAAATGTTATGCAACTGCGAGTATATAATGCAAAGTCCCATAATAATATAATATTATGGACAGAGCGAAATGGATTGAAGGCCATGGTTATATATCGACGTCTTTCCGGAAGGACATGGCTCACGATAGATGACTTCGATGAGCTATCATTATTATTATTTCGCAAGGACCACCTCAAGGATCGATGTGCGCGTGCCTCATCACTCCACAGCCGAGTGTTAGCAATTCCAGTGTGTACCGTAGAGTTCACGGTGGTTCAGATGTCTTGTGACCACCCCCCGCCCCAATTTATTGAACCCTGACATTTGTTTTCCTTTGCAAATAAATTTCTGGTTTAAATACACCTTACTTAAAAACACATTAAGTTTTAGAGAATGTAATGTGGGTAACAAGACAGCTGGACCACTGTGCATGTTTAGAGAAGTTCAAGTTCATTTATTAGGTATTTTAGGCCACTAAATTGCAGTGGCAGCTAGGGGTGTACAACTATGCTTGTCTTCAATAAAGAGAAGCATAGTGCACACGGGCAGAGTTTTGAACAGGGTTTATTGAAGACACCACGACGCACCCTTGGGCAGTGGTTCCCAACCTTTCCGAGTCTGCGCGCCCCTTTTCAACCTCCGAACATTTCGCTGACCACCATACCCACAATTCATTTGAAATTGTTCATTTCCTTGGCAAGGATGTCATTTTTATTATGACCCGCCCCACACTGGTGGACATCTGTGAAAAAGAGCTTCATATCTCATCGGATTCCTCCTCCAGTGTAAATGTAAGATTCCGATTATTTTTCTTCTCCGCTGACCCCATGTAGTAGGTAGCCTCGCGGGGCACCAGAGGTCTGCGGGCCACAGGTTGAGAACCGCTGCCCTCGGGAGATGTTCATGATTGCCACGTGACTCAATACTCTTCAAAACTGCCCCGTCGAACAACAGCCAATTAGCGATCTTAAGGAGCCTCATCACTTCCTGACACATGCTTTGAGTTCAAAAGGTAATATTCCGAGTACAAATAATGATTGCAATCTCAATGTAAATCTCTGTTGGAAAGCATTCAATTTACCTTAAAAAATGCGTTCAAAACCCTGTCGTAAAAATATACCTTAGTAGATTTATGTACACTCCACATACAATTCAAGGGCAAGGTCAATCATTTACAGGAACGCATTCTCTCTTTTAATGGACGATTAATGCCTCCTGAATTTTCACTCATTTATCAGAATCCCAGAACAAACTTATTACTTGTTAAATTAAGTTTAGCCCACTTTATGTTGCAGCAAATGTTGGCCTATTCAACTCATGTAAAGCCTTACAGCTTTTTCAAGCATTGCATTTGTTAAAAGTTAAATGGCAAAAATAAAATGTAGTTTTTTAAAAATTTATATTTATGCAATTGCATCACACAACGCTGTGCAATCCGCAAACACCGAGGTGCGTATATATAAATGTGTTCGTAGCCAATTGACGATGAGTATTTCTTCATGCCGGAGGAAACCAGAGCACCCGGAGAAAACCCACAAAATCCCATACAGATGTGACAGATGGAGATTATTCTACACTTCCTGGGAAGGGAGTTTCACAACATTTGTGTGAGCCACTAACCCTTGCCGTGCTGGATTACAGGAATGCACGGCCACTGCCCGGCTCATTAGACGACAGTCATTGAATAGCCCAACAAAACGAACTGACTAAATTATCCAAGTTCAAAACCTTATATTACAGTGAAGGAAAAAAGTATTTGATCCCCTGCTGATTTTGTACGTTTGCCCACTGACAAAGAAATTATCAGTCGATAATTTTAATGGTAGGTTTATTTGAACAGTGAGAGACAGAATAACAACAAAATCCAGAAAAACGCATGTCAAAAATGTTATAAATTGATTTGCATTTTAATGAGAAATAAGTATTTGACCCCTCTGCAAAACATGACTTAGTACTTGCAATCACAGAGGTCAGACGTTTCTTGTAGTTGGCCACCAGGTTAGCACACATCTCAGGAGGGATTTTGTCCCACTCCTCTTTGTAAAACTTCTCCAAGTCATTAAGGTATTGAGGCTGACGTTTGGCAACTCGAATCTTCAGCTCCCTCCACAGATGTTCTATGGGATTAAGGTCTGGAGACTGGCTAGGCCACTCCAGGACCTTAATGTGCTTCTTCTTGAGCCACTCCTTTGTTGCCTTGGCCGTGTGTTTTGGGTCATTGTCATGCTGGAATACCCATCCACGACCCATTTTCAATGCCCTGGCTGAGGGAAGGAGGTTCTCACCCAAGATTTGACGGTACATGGCTCCGTCCATCGTCCCTTTGATGCGGTGAAGTTGTCCTGTCCCCTTATCAGAAAAACACCCCCAAAGTATAATGTTTCCACCTCTATGTTTGGCGGTGGGGATGGTGTTCTTGGGGTCATAGGCAGCATTCCTTCACCAAGAAAACAGTTGTTACCAACTGTTTTCTTGGTGACTATGGTCCCAGCTGCCTTGAGATCATTGACAATATCCTCCCGTGTAGTTCTGGGCTGATTCCTCACCGTTCTCATGATCATTGCAACTCCACGAGGTGAGATCTTGCATGGAGCCCCAGGCTGAGGGAGATTGACAGTTATTTTGTGTATCTTGCATTTGCGAATAATCGCACCAACTGTTGTCACCTTCTCACCAAGCTGCTTGGCGATGGTCTTGTAGCCCATTCCAGCCTTGTGTAGGTCTACAATCTTGTCCCTGACATATTTGGAGAGCTCTTTGGTCTTGGCCATGGTGGAGAGTTTGGAATCTGATTGATTGATTGCTTATGTGAACAGGTGTCTTTTATACAGTAACAAGCTGAGATTAGGAGCACTCCCTTTAAGAGTGTGCTCCTAATCTCAGCTCGTTACCTGTATTAAAGACACCTGGGAGCCAGAAATCTTTCTGATTGAGAGGGGGTCAAATATTTATTTCCCTCATTAAAATGCAAATCAATTTATAACATTTTTGACATGCGTTTTTTCTGGATTTGTTGTTGTTGTTATTCTGTCTCTCACTGTTCAAATAAACCTACCATTAAAAATATAGACTGATCATTTCTTTGTCAGTGGGCAAACATACAAAATCAGCAGGGGATCAAATACTTTTTTCCCTCACTGTATGTACCGTGGTGATAAACCATTCTGAAAGTACTGTATTTTGGTTGAATTTGCATTACACCTTGTAAACTTCCCACTTTTAACTCTCACTAATGCAGTACTGATGTAATTGTTTTCTGTTTTCCAATCTGTACATTGCTGCAATTTTCATGGGAACCACAATATATACAGCTTCCTCACTCCTGCCCCCACTGAGCCCTTGGCATTCCTGAATGTGATGTGGCTCACTGATGACCACTTATCAAGGCCACTGCTGAGTGTCTCTCAAGCTGCAAACGAATACAGTACTTAATAACTTGAAGTCCTGTCACCCAAAAGATTGTGCACAGATAAATCTTGCACCTATGGCTTTAACCCTCACTGATGCAGTGTTAATACATTCCATCAGCTGCAATGCATTGGTTATTGTTCTCATTCCCAACTGTCCCAGTACAATCCATGATTTTAGCTTGCACATTGATGACTTAAAATTAATTGTAGGTACATTTTTATTCATTTTAGAAAACATGATTAATAAGTTATTAAGGCAAATGCCAATAACAACCCCCCCCCCCCCCCATAAATTATAATTTGATCTGAAAAGTGATTTATTAAAAAGACCTTTCCAAGCCGCTCTCATGTAAATAATTGGGAGCACAAAAACATGGCGACTACAGCTGCACAATGCGCAGAGACTTTCCTGCCAGGTAAAGCGCGGGATGCAGCGGCTTCCTGAACGGCTCTTCGAACGTGTACAGCAGGGCCATCGTGTCGGCGTTGTAGAAGGCCAGCACACCCGCCTCAAAGTTTACGTACACCCCGACCGCGTGCAAGGGCTCGGGAAACGCCAGCGGTGTTTTGACGTCGTCATGGTACACTAAATACTGTGCAGACCAGCACCACAATCCCCAGGAGATTCTGTTGCGCCCGAGCACACAGGCGGTGTCGGTTCCCTTGCGTTTGATGGCGCTGTAGGTCGCTCCCACGGCCCAATTGCAGCCGTCTCGGACATCCACTTCCCAGTAATGACAACCTGCGGCAAAGCTCTCGGAGCAAATGACCTTGAAAAAGAAACAATGGTGGAGAAACACGAGTTAATTAAACGTGTTCTTAAAAACATTTACAAATGCTGACTCGTACAAATATCACGAACTAAGAACGTGCTGCGGAATTGCGCGATGAGTAATGGTGGATCAAGTACTTTTTTGTTGCGATTTGGCTATTCATAAATTGCTAAACAAATGTTATATGGAATCGGCCATCATTTCACCAAGCAAGCCATAAAATCAGACAGCTTTTTATTTTTTTGTAATTTACTCGTTTTGTTCTGGATATCTCCTAACTTCACCACACGCCTCTCCTACTTCACCACACGCCTTGTAGGACTGAGTTTTTGAGCTGCAGTGAACCAATGATTATGCCGATTAGATGTACTAATATGGCTGTTGTTCACAATTTCACCCAGTAAAATAACTCATCATCAGTCGCTCGCCCCTGGCCGGAACGTAGCAGTCCCCACTACCACACTGCCACACTGCCACGTGACCCCATGACCCTGAGCTCACCGCCACGCCTCGCACAGTCCAAGACCGAGGTGTTATAATAATACTACTTTCATTTAAGATAGCATCATTCATGCTTATAGCATCACATGACGCTGTACACTACCGTACCGTATGTGGATATACAGCAGTGGCGGCTCGTCAATAGAGGGCGCAGGGGCGCCGCCCCCATCAATATTCAAGAAATATACATATACAAAATTTATATAAAAATTCATAAATAAAATATTTTTTTCATACGATGTGCCGGCTGGTAGTAAGAAAAGCATCAGCATTTAATAAAAACTGGCTTTAATCGGTCAACTATTTTCTATGTTTTTCAATGTGTTTCATGCGGGGCGCCGGACAAATGGATGTCTATGTGAGACTTTACATTTTCGGACAGCATGTGACCTGAAGCTGGTCTCTAATTGGTTTCTTAAAGATTCTCCTCGGGGCGCAAGTCGTTGCGTCCCTGGCCAATCAGAATTGGATACATGTTATTTTATCCAATCTGATTGGTTCTCGTCACCTGTCATTCAAATTTACGCTCTGGGCCACTACTGCGAGTGCGCAGGCGACAACACTTTGACATCTTCTTGGTTCTTTCGGTAAAGTCACGTAGAAGGGAAGTAATAAAATAATAAAAATAAAACATAATAAAATTATTCTCACGACGTTTCGGCCACAACGCAAGCAGCCGTCCTCAGGTGAAAACCAGGTCCGTCGAGGCGACAGAGTCTGAATGAAACAGCACACGAGCTTTCATTCAGACTCTGTCGCCTCGACGGACCTGGTTTTCACCTGAGGACGGCTGCTTGCGTTGTGGCCGAAACGTCGTGAGAATAATTTTATTATGTTTTATTTTTATTATTTTATTACTTCCCTTCTACGTGACTTTACCGAAAGAACCAAGAAGATGAATCCCTGCAGTCACGAAAGCTTTAAATCAAAATTTAACCACTTTGACACTTGCTAGGCTGATCAAATTTTTTGTGTAAACAATGGCAGCAGTTCATCCAAATTCTGTAATTTATTTACAAAAAAACCCTTTCACAAGGCTTTCGCTGGAAGAAATAAAAAAGATAAAGGATCTCGGACCGGACCAACCCGATTTACAAATCCAGCAGCAGGCCAGTGACAGAGGACGAAGCTACACACGAAGCTTCACCCGCGCTTGTTATGAGAAACGGAGGTGGCTGGCTGGATGTGATGTTAGCAATTCTCTTTTTTGTTTTCCCTGTCTTTTATTTCAAAGTGTCGGCACTGAAGTTTTGTGGACAACGACGGGGGTAAGAGACCTCAAACATCTCTCTGACAAATGCAAACGTCATGAAAGTAGCCGCAGCCATATTGATAATAGCATGAAACTAACGTTTTTATGTTCAAGTAGGAAACATGCTTTTTGGTACTTCTTTTGGTCTGAAATGTAAATAAAGATCATCAAAATTTATATTCAAGTAGTCAAAATGGTTTTTGGTACTGCTTTATATTTATTTGCCCCCCTCAATAAAATAAAAAAATGCGCCCCCCCAAAAATAAATATCACCAGCCGCCACTGATATACAGCACAGTGGTGTTCAACTGTAAGACTCGCGGCAATAAGATTGAGTTACCGACCTGCAGCGTTGAGTCGAACCGGTCTGGGTGGTTCGGATATCCTTGGTCCTGGCTGCACCACGTGACTGTATGCAAATCCATGGACAACTTCAATTTTGGATGTGCCGAGTTTGGGTTCAGGGTGGGTGTTTTTCCATCTGTTAAAAGCAAACCATAAGTATATGAATTGTGAAACATTTAAAGAAACTGTACCAAAACATATATTTTAAATGGTGTATTTTTAAACAGGTGAACATCCATCGAGGTACGCATCATCTTTTTTAAAACACAGATCTGTGTGATTGTAAAGGGTATGTAACCTGATAGGCAAATGAGCAAAACCCAAATGTCAACAAAGCATGCAAAACACTAACGCAATCACACATCCTTGACAATGTCGCAATGAAGCAACATGTGCTTTATTACACGTGAACATCTATAAACATCTACTAATGCTATGTTACAACTAGAATGCGTTAACGTAGTATTTTTTAAGCGTCAATACAAATTAACCATGTACACCGCAGACATTCTTCCTATCTTACTACCGGCTAGATTTATGACGAGTCTGACTATAACCACATATCCAAGATGCCCTACAGAAATTGGGGCCACGTGCAGGAAGAGAGAAGGCTTGGGAGAGAGGAACGGAGAGAGAGATAGGAAGACTTATTTCGAGGTCTCTATCACGAGGGTAAGGGGGGACGAGAGGAGGCTACAGGGCAGAGGGGGGGGGGGAAATAGACGACGGGACTTGAACAGGGAGGCAGGCTGCGCGATCCTGCATTGAGCCAGCGTATGATGGCAGTACAGCAAGTGGAATAATTTACATCTGTATCTATCTGTATGGGGATTGAGTGTCGCAACCTTCGTCGCCTCCTCTCATCGCGCGTGTGGGTTTTTTCTGGGTACTATACTTTCCTCCTACTTATATGGACGCCCACACAGCTTCATAATGGGCGCAGACACTTTACGAGCAAAAAGCACTTTGTGTGGTTTTTTTTACGCTATTTTATGGATGCATCATAAAGGGTTCATAAAACGGGGCAGCACAACCAAGTCCCGTGACAGGTAACAAAGGACAAATGCACGACCCAGATGTTTCTGGAGGATTACGCTGCACTCGGGGTCACGCAGGGCCATTTGCTTTAAGGCCAGGCCTGCATAGGACATTTACAAAAATCGGTGGTTTGAATGTCACCTCTTTGTTAATGAATGGAAATCAACTGTACATAAATTCCCGTTGTGGACATCAGTTCCCTTTGCAGACATCACTGATATGATTGCTTGTGTGAATAGTTTTAACACTGCCACAACAAGATAGTGTTTTAATGCAGGAAAAGGCATCTGTACAACTTACACGACAAGTAAGACCAGTTGGATTCAAACGTGGCCAGTCGCTTGTCCACACGTTTCAGAACAGACTCCATTTTCCGAGGATCCAGCTCACAGCGAACTTGGTTATCCACTTGGTCCACTCCTGCCAGAGATTCCATTCTTCAAAAAACACCGTCATCGTCACCATTATCATCCAAAATCAACAGCATCACCGTCGCCGCCACCACCACCATGTGGCTATAATAATCATCATTCCCGTCATCATCAAGAGGTGTATCATCAAGGTGTATCTTTATCAAGCGGTGTATCATTGCACCTCTGATTAGCACGGTTGGCGAAGTACAGTGCAAAAGAGGTTCAACATAGATACATACTGTCTAACTTTTATCCATGATCAAAAAAAAATAATTCAGTGACACCAACAAACTATAACGCTATTAAATAACACAAACACATTATGGTGTTGCATGTGATGTTTTTTTTCCATTATGAAGCAAAATCTGTCGGCAAGTAAAAATAATCACAAATTGAACGGTGAGATTTGACACCACTTGCAGCGTTTGTGACTCGAGAATGTTCATCAGCCGCATCTATCATGGCTACGCTGGGACTTCAGGCTCTACATTGGACATCCACGGATGAGCAGCTATGCACGGAGCGAATGAGAATGTTGGTGATGTTATTAGAGGGTTGCTCCAGATGTCTAATGACCCCCTCCCCCAATTATTTGACCCGTAACATTTCTTTACTTATTCATTTCTGTTTTCACACCCATTGGTATACAAACACTTATATTACGTTTTAGATAATTAAATGGGGGTCGCAAGACATCTGGACTACCCTGTACAATGTCAAATAATAACTATAATCTTGGTTCATTCGGTAAAGTCACGTACGTAGAAAATAAAATTATAATATTCAAATACAATAAAAAAATAAAAGCAAAAACCTACGACGTTTTGATCGCAACACAAGTGGTCTTCATCGGGCGGAGAGAAAAGAGGGCAAGCCTCCAAATGCAACCGCTTATAAGGGTTTACAAAATGAGTAGACGGGGGACGAGAGTTGGGGGGAGGAGAGCTGATGCAGCGTAAACAGCATGGGCGGGACAGCAGTCAGACAATGGGGTAGGAAGGCGGTGGAAATAGGGGAGAGAGGGGGGGGGGGTAAGGGGAGAGAGTGGGGGTAGAGGAGACAATGGGGGAGTTGGGAGGAGGATTGTGCGTACACAGCATGGGCGGGGAGACAATGGGGGGAAAGGGGTAGAGATAAGGGGGAGGGAGGGGGGGAGATGGGGGGGCATTGCACCTCGCTACACACATCCACACTGTTGACTGGTAACCGACGGTTACCAGTCAGCAGTGTAGCGAGGTGAAATGCCCCCCCCCATCTCTACCCTCTTCCTCCACCCATTGTCTAACACACTTGGAGTGCGCCCTCGCCTTCAACTCCACCTCTATCTCTACCCCCCTCTCTCCCCCTATATCCACCCCCTTCCTACCCCCCCCATTGTCTGACTGGCTGCCCCGCCCATGCTGCTTACGCTGCATCAGCTCTCCTTCCCCCAACTCTCGTTCCCCGCCCACTCACTTTGGAAACCCTTATAAGCAGTTGCATTTGGGGGCTTTTGCGCTCTTTCTCTCCGCCTGATGAAGACCGCTTGTGTTGCGATCGAAACGTCGTGGGTTTTTTGCTTTTATTTTAAATTAAATTTTAATTATATTTTATGATTTAAGTTTTATTTTCTATATACGTGACTTTACCGAAAGAACCAAGAATATGAATTCCTGCAGTCACGAACGTTTTAAGTACAAATTAAAATAATATCTGTCCGGTAATGTGTTTGTAACATGTACATAATGATTGTGGTGGTAATGTGGGGAGCGGTCGTGTCGCAGTTTGCATACTGCTCTACAAACCCGGCGAACCGAGTTCGATTCCCGCTCACGGCCAACACCAGTGACTATTATCTGAATCGGTCCTGGGCCTCCCCTAGGTCGACTCAGCCTCAAATTAATACCTGCTATGGTATGTAAAAACATCGCCGCTGGGGAGACAAAGACGGTCGGACGTGGTGTTGGCTACCCACACCCTCATGTGCTGTTCT